TGTGCATCTTTAAGCATAATATGCTTTACCCATTAAAAATGAATGCAAGGTGAGTTTACTGAACCACTCGAATATTGATTGGTTATAAATGTTGCTAGGTTGATATTATTTAAACATTCTTTTTCTTAACCCTTTAATATTGAACGCAACGTTTGACATTTAAAATCTAATGGATTTCGTTTTAAGTTGCGTTGGTTTTTACCATCAAATGAAATTCGTTTTTGATTTTAATTGCGCTTTAAATCTATCTTAATGTTTTTGGTCATGGAATGGTTGTCATTGAACTTGAAATTTTATTTTGAAAAAAATGCCTTAATCATAATGTATTTTAAGCGAAACTATCTATTTTTTATAAAATAAATTTGAAGTTTCTTATTATTATCATATTGCGCGACTCATAAGTTTTTGTTTTATTTCTAAGAAGTACAAAAATAAATACTAAAAATAGTGTTAGAAATTTTAGATTACTAGATTTACTTATCAATTACCAACAAACAAATATAAGGTAAAATAAATATTTCAGTTTATGATTGTAAAATTGTATGAGAGCAAACTTAATATTTTACTCGTATTTAATTATGTACGATTTTATGTCTGAACTCAAAGTTAAAGATCGTAATCAAGAGGTATCTTCCAAGATCGTAAATCTTCCTGAAAATTTTATACTTTTTGTGTATTTCGCCATAGCTGGAGAANTTCTCGCTCCCGTGAAAATGACGGGGTGAGGTTTCGCCCTCTATTTCTCGCTCCCGTGATATTGACGGGCTGGAGTGTTCAGTAGTAACGCGCCAATAAGAATAAAACTACTAATTCATTTCTTTTGCTCGGAAAAAATTTTATTTCTCATTTTACTCACCAGATGGCTGTACCAGGATATTTTTAAGGTAATTGTAGATAGTTAATTTATTTTAAACTAGATGTCAGCAATAATCAAATACGTAATATAAATACAAAAGCCAAAAAAATCGGCACTTTTATGACCGTTTTCTTGAAAATTGACCGATCGTTAAGGGGTTAAAGCGAATTAAAAAAAATTTGCACGCATTTATAAAATTTTTTTATCCGAAGATAATTCAATGGGAAAAATAGCTTTTAGTAAATATTTATTATTTTATTTAATAATTGTCGGAAAATTTATGTATTGTAAGATGTGCAATTTCTTACGCGATTTTATAGAATGTAATTTTACGTGGCAAAATACAAAATTTGAGCGAAATCAGTGTAATAGTTCCTGAGAAAAAAAAACTTTAAAAACAAGTCTTCGCTAAAATTCGATTTCTCAGGAACTATTTGTTCGATTTCGCTCAAAGTTTGTATTTTACCATTTAAAATTGCCTACCTTAAAATGATGTAAAAATTTGTCTATCGTACAATTCAAAATATTTTCAACAATTATTAAATGAAATAGTAAATATTTACTAAAAATTATATTTATCTTTGGATAAACGAATTTTATAATTGTATGCGAAAATGTTTCATATCGCTAAAAAAGTTCTCGAGTGAAAAATACGCAAAAAGGGAAGAAAAAAAAACTTTAAGAGGTCCAAGCTTTGAAGCGCTCTCCTGGCCAGTATTCCAAATTGGTCAGGAGCCCATATTTTGCACCCAATGGGGCCATATTTTCCAAATTGAGGCTACCTTCCAAACTTTTGGGAGTCATAAATCAGAAGAGAAAGTACGTTTTTGTGTGTGATTTAGTGACTTAAAATATCGTCTGCACAAATTAATTAGCATATTTGACATTACCCCCTCTGACCATTAATATCAAAAGTTATTCAGACTGGTCCGTTTTTTATTTTAGCCTTCCTCTGCGCTTTTACTATCCAACAATGAAAAAAGATAAAGCAGTAATGATAAAAAGTGCAAAGTTCCTTACTTCTTGGTCTGGGTACTAAATTACACATGTAACTGGGTGTGATATAAAATACTTTTTAAGCAAAATCTTTATTCTGTTTTAGTGTTATTTATTTTATTTGTTGCATTGATTGTAATTTTAATCTCCAAGACACCCTGTCGAAACTGAAGTTTACACATGTTGAAGATGACTATGTGTGCGAAACTGATGCTTGCAGAGAAACTGGTAAGTTAAAATAGTCAAAAAATATTTCTATTTAAAATCGCGTAAATTGTGTGTTTATCTTTTTTCTAGAGATTCTGTAAGATTACAATTATTCTTGTAAGAACTCGTTTGCGAAGTACATAATCACTTGACTCCTCGACGATTTTCTGTGTGTTGAACCCTTTTTCCCATTAGGTGCTATCACGATCTGCAATAGCGAGATATTTTCTATAACCTAGAGACCCAGGTTTAAAAAAAACCCATATCTTCACCTTTTATGAAATCACTATAATAAGGAATGATTAATTAATTAAAGAAACAATAATACGCACACAACGGTAAAAGATGATCGTGAGACAGTGTCCTACCCAGAAAGGTATATGCAATGGCGTCGTCGCCATAATAATCCTGTCTGAAACAAATATCACAAGATTTCTGTCTTAGACTCCGTTGCAATAGTGACAAGCTTCTTGTGTCCTAAACAGTCCGTTTCGGTGAGTTTTGACCTGTCTATGACTGGTTTAAATTTTTATTGAAGTAAAACTCGCCGATGTGTCTATTTGTTAAAGATTCTCCTAACTGGTTTGTCTTCATCTGTAGAAGTACATCTCACATTTCATTCTTCGAATTATTCTTAGTTGACGTTTTTAAATTGTTATTTTGAAATTTTCAAATGGTACTTTCAGTGTTGTAGCTTATTTTGCGTCCAAATCGACTTCGCTTTTTAACCAACGTAGGCTTTTACCCAGTACTATTCGATACCTAGTACTGTAGATGTTTTCTGATGGGTATAGTTTGGTTCCAAGTTGATAGAATTTTAGGTTTTCTTGAGTTGCTGCATATCTTGTATTTTGTTGATCTATATCTTCTAAGGCTTTTAATAGTGTGACGTTTTCTCCCTAGAGGGTAATTGCTTCGACGTTCGGTTTGAATTGTTCTATTTTTTTCACTGTTGTGGTTTGAATATGTTGCTCCTACATGTTTCATTTAATGAATTTTCATTATTTTCTATGTTTAATTTTTTTAATTCATTTTAATTCATACTATAGAAGATAAGAGTAGTAAAATGATATTTGTCAATAATTGACAACACCGGGTACGAATCCCATCTATGGCTGGTTGATACGAATTCTGTACCCGGATCGCACCTAACACAGTGCTGACGTAAAATATCCTCTGTGGTTGACGGATCATGGGTTAGAGTTCCCTAGCCGTCAGGCTAACCGTGGGCAGTTTTCGTGGTTTTTCCAATCCATGCAAAGCAAATTCAGTTTAGCTCCCTCAAACAGTCCTCCATGAAGGCAAAATTTCACCTAATACTTGATTCCCTTGTCTTCTGCATTGGGTTCAAAATTACAAGCCTCCGGAGTTGAACATTGGTAGTCATAAACCCAAAGTTAGGTCGGCTGTTCAACGACAGTTATAATATAACTGACAACGAGACGCTTAGGGGATAGAGCGTTCGTCTTCCAGTTATGTGAACCGAATTCAAATCCCAGTGATGGCTGGTAGATACGAATTGTTCGAGATGAAATTTACATACGGTTAATTAACTAATCTCAAAGCTTTTTAAAACAAAAAAGAATTGCGATTTTGTGTTAAAATTCTTACGTTATAATGCAGTAACAGTTGTTTATTTGTTTGCATATTTGAGGTCACCCCCTTGAAGCGATTCCGCATCGAAATCTTATTGACTTTCTTAAAGAACATGGAAGCTTCTCCTTGATTTAAATCATGGTATTATATTAACCAAGTTCTTTTGGACTAGAATATAAAACTAACAATCTGAGGTCACCGCTTTAAACCATTAAGATTGAGTTACAGTACGTGAAAATCGATTATTAAATCAAAGATTATTCAGGGTATTTCCTTTTCTCTCGCACTGTACACTATTTTTTTAATAATAATATGGGGGAAATAACTTTTGTTATGAGAGAAAATAACAATGTTAAAGCCAGAAAAAGCAAACAAGAATTATCGCTAAGAGAGCCATGATGTATACGTATAATAGAATTTTATATTAACCGGAAGATTAATTTGAATTTAATTGATTTGTGGATCACGTTTTAGACGTTTCTTTTTATGCTTGCTGTTATGCCTTTTAATTATCCTTTTATATTCATTGTTGTATACCACCTTGATCAAAAAGTTCCCGGAATAACCCCCCGGGTAGCGCTACATTCCCTCTAAATCTTAGCGTCATAGCTTGACGTTTGCAAAAGTTACGTAGCCAAGAGTACATCTATATCTCTGTGTGTGTTGGCGATTTTTTTACAATTTTAGAAATGGTTTAAATTTGAAACAACGAACTAGTATTAAATTTTGCTTAAAAAACGGATTTAATGGTGCGCTAGCGTTGGAAAATTGTTTCGGCAACGATTCTCTAATGAAAACGGTCGTTTACCAGTGGCACGAGCGGCTCAAAAGTGGTCGTGAGTCAATCGAAGATGATGAACGCAGTGGCAGACCATCGACTTCGAAAACCGGCGAAAACATTGATAAAGTAAAAGGAATGTTGGTCAATAACCGCAAATTAACCATCAGAGAGATAACGAAGGGCTATGGATCCGTCCAAGACATTTTGGTTAATGATTTGGGTTTCCGTCGTGTAGCAGCAAAGTTGGTGCCAAAAGACCTCAATTTCATGCAAAAAAGAGACCGTGTTGACGTCACAAAAGACATGATTTGCGATTTCCGTCGTGTAGCAGCAAAGTTGATGCCAAAAGACCTCAATTTCATGCAAAAAAGAGACCGTGTTGACGTCACAAAAGACATGATTTGCGAGGCTGAATCCGATCCCACATTCATCAAAAGGATCATTACTGGAGACGAGACGCAATCCAGACATCAGGCAAGTGAATGGCGTTCATCAAAGTAAAAATCGCAGAAAGCACTGATGGACATACCGTAAACCGAATAAAATTTTTTTTTTTGAGGATTGGATCAAGCGCTGGCATAAGTGTGTTGCAGTCGATGGGGATTACTTTGAAGGGGACAATATAGATTTAGATGAATAAACTTGTATATTTAATTTTCTGAATAAATTCCGGGAACTTTTTGATCAAGGTGGTAGGTACATTGTCTGAATCTACATCAAATGTGAATTATACAATTGAATTTTCTTTTAGCTGATAACTTAATTGGAAACTTGGATGCAAGTGCAGATCCATGTGTTGACTTCTATCAGTACGCGTGTGGTGGATGGATTGAAAAGAATCCTATACCTGACAACAAAGAGTATAGTGAATCGTACGACACTGCGAGAGGTGAAGTGCGAGAAAGAATCATAAGTATGCCCATTATATATTTTGTATACGTCTGCTAAACTTATATATTTTTTTAACTAATTACTGATTAACTAATATTACTTGTGGAGATTTGGTGTGGTATGAAGATTGACTTAACCCATACTTAATTTTCAAAAAATAAACACTGAAAGGGTTTACTAAAAATAGTTACGACTTGAAGCTCATGTTATTGGGTAAGTTAATAAATTAAATTGTGTTTTTACCCTGGGCATTCCCGCTTGACCTACTAATATTTAACACTGTACTCCCATAAATCATTTTTCGAATCACGATTGCTCGAAAAGAAATTGAACTATTGAATGGAAAGACGATGAATATGTAAACAGAAAACGGATCTCAAATCGTCGCTTTGAAACTAAACCTCAGTAACTCNATATATTCAAAACAGTCTCTTTTCTTTCATCAGATGCTGTCGCCATATCGTCGCTTTGAAACTAAACCGTAGTAACTCAAAAATGAGATATTTAGGTCATTTTGTGTAAAAAAAATCACCCTTTTAGAGAAACAACGTGTCATCTTCATAGTTCCATAAAATTAATTTAGAGAGCAGATAAATCATTATCGCATTGGCGCGATTCGCCATCTTAGTTTTAGGGAATAGTGTAGCAGTGTGCCAGTTGCAACAAAACCTTGGAGGAGATAACGTCGCTTTGAAACTAAACCGTGGTAACTCAAAAAATCAAGTTTTTCAGGAGAGCGATTTTTTTCCTACACTGTTGTATGTCGAAATTTTAAATGAAATACGTAATATTTGGGAGGATATTTTGAAGAACATCGTCGTATTTTGAAATAGCTCACCACTTTTAATAAAAGTTTTAGAGAAAACTGTTGCAACTCAAGGTACCTTAGCTTATTTCGAAATTACTACAAAATTACAAATGCTCCCAGAATCTGGCCTGGTTCATTGAAAAACGTAAAGAAACAGGTTTTTTTAATGTTAACTATTTTGTAAGCTTTGAGTCAACCTGCGGTGGAAGTTCCTTAAAAGTTAGAAATCGCTCTCCTGAGAAACTTGCTTTTCTTAGTTACCACGGTTTAGTTTCAAAGCGACGATATATGAAAAACTGAAGTAGTAGTTATTACTGACCTGTTGCCTGATTACAGTTTTTTTCTTCCATTAAACATACCTCAACAATTTTAATCTATTTTTCGACGCAGTATAATAAAATCAATGCTCTTGCACCAAAAATTTACGTCTCTCATTCACTTAACTACGTAGTTATCTCAAAACTTAACTAAGAATCACGCATGAACAAGAAATCGGAACTGGTAAATAGGAGAACTTCAAATATTGATTTTTATAAATGTTTTGAGCAAGGAATAACTCAGAAGTGTGAAGTGGATCAACCATGAACATTAAGTCTACTTTTCTTAAAAATTTATAGCACCCGAAGAAGGGGAGATTCGTATCTGATTCTTAGATCAAAAGTTACTCAAGTGTCTAACGTAAGTACATTACATGAAGACTGTGCTCGAAATTATGGGATAAATTTATGTAGTCTTTAATATCTGACGTCAAGAAATATGCAATAGTGACAATGTGATAAAGTTATTTCTGAAATAGATAGTATAAAATAAAATGTTAAAGTGGTAGATATTGAAAAATGTTTGCTAGGTAAGACAACTCTCAAGGTGTTCGTGGAATCTTTTTTGAAAAAAGTGTAAAGAAAAATAAAAAACTGGGTTGGAGGAATAAGTAGGCAGGTTAGGAGTAGTTATTCCTGCAGAAAATAACTTTATAAAGTTCAATGTTTGGTTTAACTATTTCAGGCTTTTGTGCCAAATTTACAAACTAACTAAATTATTTCTGTATTTATTAATTTAAAATTGCAGTATTTGTGACTTGCTGTGTTTTCTTTATTACTATTCAATGAAATCAAAATAGTGTTTTTGAAATAAATAAGTAAATTTAGTCGATTCGCCTGCTTTCTCATCATTTAACCCTTTACATTCGAAAGGTTTCTCTTAGGCACCACTTTCAGTTCGAAGTTACTAACCAGTCTTTACCTTAATTTTTAATGGCATCTTTTTTTTACATCTTGATGTTTAGTGATTAATTTATTTGGTGGTCTAATGTGAGTACAGAGGTAATTTTCAAGTGGTTAAAACACGTATTTTAACAGTTTAAAGAACTGTAAGACTACGGAGTATAAATGTAAAAGGGGTATTAATAACATTTGGCTATGGTCTTATGTAAGAAAGATGCATTAATATAACTGTTTTCCAGACTTGATACAGAATGAATCAAATAGTGATGGACCCAAATATGCTTCACTAGTTGGAAAAGTATACAAGAGCTGTTTAGATAAAGGTAAGTATAAAAACATTTTAGCCAGTGCAATATGAATCCTGTTCGACAAATTATCTAGGTTGCACTGTCGTAGCAAAAGTATTTATAAATAGTATGTCTTACCATAAAAGGTTATCACTAATTGAAATTACTCTCTAATTAATGATAAACCTTTAGCGTAATCCTTTGCTGTTTTCCTTGACAAATCAAAAAATGTCTTAAGTTTAATAATAAACTGACTATACGCAGACATTATAAAAAAATAGTGCGTGGAGTCCCTCCGCGCGGAAGAAGTTAAACTTCGCAGCNACTGTTTTCCAGACTTGATACAGAATGAATCAAATATTAGTGATGGACCCAAATATGCTTCACTGGTTGGAAAAGTATACAAGAGCTGTTTAGATAAAGGTAAGTATAAAAACATTTTAGCCCGTGCAATATGAATCCTGTTCGACAAATTATCTAGGTTGCATTGCAGGAGCAAAAGTATCTATGAATATGTCTGACCATGAAAGGTTATCACTAATTGAAATTACTCTCTAATTAATGTTAAACTTTTAGCCTAATCCTTCGTTGTTTTCTTTGACAAATCAAAAAATCTCTTAAGGTTAATATTAAACTGACTACGCATACATTATAAAAAATAAGTTCAGTTTCTCACCTTAAGGAAATGATTTTCTATTCACGACCTGAACTGCTTTATGATATCTGCCATGCAAATTAGCTTTCAAAAATCATATCACGCTACAATATAGTTATTCCTTACATTATACTATTGCTGAAACTCTTCTCTTTAATCTGCTTAGAGAACTTAGTTTTGCAATAGTAGTAAAATCGATTCCTTATCTTACGTCCTTAATTGTTTACTTTCATCATTTTAGCTTTTAGTCCATAACAGAACCAATATTTTGCAAACCTAGTTGTAGGTGTTATGTAGCCAAAACTTGCTCTTGAGCATTAAATTCACAAAAAGTTAACGCTACTTCAAGTTTTCATGAACAACATGAATATTTTCTTCTCTAGCGTAAATTTTTTGAGTACCGGTTCATATGTAACGATACTTTATTTACTGTTTCAGAAGAAAGAAATAATGTTGGTATCTATCCATTGAAAAAACTTGTAAACCAATTTGGTGGTTGGCCAATGCTGAATGATCAATGGTCTGAAGAGGGTTACGTATGGTACCGCCATCTGGCGGAAGTAAACCGGGGGCTTTTTAAAGACATCATATTTGATTTTGATTTCTTACCATTTCTAAATAACAGTGAGGAGTACATTATAAAGGTAAGCTCTCGTGCGTATTTTTTAAAATTTACTGAGTGGCTGATCTCCACATTGTCGTTAATTTATACATGAATAAATGTCGAAATTGAATTTCATTTCACCTTAGAGCATTGAGCAGTTCAGGTTATGTCATTAATCTAAAACTTAATTAGCTTTTCAACCTCCGGCTATTAGAAAAATGGTTATGCAGTTGAAAATCTTCTTATTCAACTTTTATTATAAAACTATGAAAATGTCTTTTTAAAAAGAATACTTTACCTCCAAAAGGTTATTAGAGATATTTAATAATGTATAAAATTAGAACAGCAATCCTCAAAATCATACTGATCTATAGGAAAAAAAGGCCGTAAATCTGCTTTCGAGTTAGTGAACTGAATTTCTTTTTTATTGATTAAAAATTCCTTACAAAATGTCCAATTATTATGGTACAAGTGTTATTAATTGAAATTAGAATTTCATAAATAAAACGAATTTTGTTATTGAAATTGTTTTTAAAACACTGTTTACTGCAGATTTTGATATTAAATTTGGTCTGGGGGGACATGTAAGGCTAACTTGTTGTTACGAGCAAGAGATAGTTGTCAAAGTGGTAGGTTAGTTATTCTTTAGCCCATAACATTTCGAGATTCAGAAAAAAGTACAGATGTACATTTTCTGCCCTAAATAATAATAAGTAGAAGAAATATGTCAGGAAGTAACTTTTTCTTTTTAAGATTTTTTTACTATAATTCAAGGTATTAGAGTGATTTATTGGCGTATTTTATTGAACGCTTGGCTGCAAGAACGATTTATCACCAATCACTTACAAACTTATCAGTCCCCCTCCCCCCCAGTATTAGATCTCTTAAAATGAGATGTATTCTTTTTAGTTCTAGCGTTATTTTGGTGTTCAATATTTTAACTGCGATATGCTCGCTCATTCAATTTATTATAACTCATTTGAATCTGGCGATCTTTTAATAGCATGGTTCCATTTTCTAAAACAGAATAAAGTGGTAGCATACGTGCTTCAACACCAAGATTTATTTCACAATCTTATAAAGTTTATCAAAGCAATAGAATTATACACTATAATATATATATATTGATCTGATGCAGTGACTCTTTTGAGTCTAGTGACTGGAGCTGTACTACCATTTCTGGCTCTTGTGCCAATAAACTACAAATACAGATATCTGCAGTATTCAAAAAGTTATCAATCCAAGTGACAATCTGTAAAATATGAGCGGCGATGACTCAGGGGATAGAGCATTCGCCTTCCAATGAGGTGAGCCGGGTTCGAATCCCAGCGTTGGCTGGTGGATGCCAATCCACACCCAGCTTGCACCGACCACAATGCTGATGTGAAATATCCTCAGTGGTAGACGGATCATAGATTCGTCAGGCTAACCGTGGGAGGTTCTTGTGGTCTGCCTCTCCATGTAACACAAATGCAGGTTAGTTCCATCAAAAAGCCCTCCACGAAGGCAAATTTCTCCCATTACTTGATCCAGGAATGCCCTTGTCTTCTGGATTGGGTTCAAAATTACAAGGCTACGAAGTTGAACATTAGTGGTCGTAAGCCCGAAAATTGGGTTGGCTGTTCAACGACGGTCATAAAATCTGTAAACAACATGACTTTATTTTTGTACCTATCTGAAAATAATCCAGATAGCTATTAATACAACAATCAAATAATAGTAACTGAGAATTTTTTATACCATTGTTTGACTCTATAGCTCAACAAGGGTAAGTGTCTGTTTGACAGCATATGGTTCAGAACTGATGAAAATTCTACGACGAACTACACGGACGCTGCAAGAACATATATAGTGGGATTTGCCTTACTTCTCGGTTCAGAGCGAGACCTAAGTTCTTTAGAAGCGGAAGCAGATGCCGTCATTGATTTTGATTATAAGATACATAAAACCGTAAGAGTTATTTTTTTATCTATTATCTAAATTTTATTTTGGTATAAAATAATAATTTTTAAATATAGTTAGATGTGATAAAAACCTTATAATCTTATTATAGTATTTAAATGTTACTAACTTAAATTATTGTTTATTTCTTTAAGATGACCCTTATTAGTAAAACACATAACCTATCCAGCGTATAAATAACTCAGACAACAGTACTTAAACCGGAAGTTTTAAATTTTACATTTTTTTATTGGAAATACTCCATATCAGAATATTTTATCTTATTTAATAATTTGATTCGATTACTACCTTTTAACATCTCTTTTACTGAGTATGAAGTGCGATACTGCCCAATATGGATCTCACACTAGAAATAAAATTAACAAACTAAAAACTAAACTTTTTTCCTTAAGAAGGAAATTATTTTGTTGACGAAAACAAATCCTGCAAACATATTCCGGAATCTGATGACGTTTTTTATATTAAAAATTTATTCAAAGTGTAAATAATAGAATGCGTCAAACTTAATTTTGTTTTTAGCATTGTTTGATTTGGTCTTATTGACTACTTAAAAACTGATGGTAAAATTGCTTGTCATATCTTTAAAAACACCCTACTTTACCTTTTCAGTTTAATATTCTACGAACAGAAATCTTTCGCAGAAATTCTCTAACCGAAATAATTTTTTTAAATAATTAGAAAGGTAAAGAGGTGAGTTTTCGAATGTTCTTTTTGAAATTTCGCTATTAGTTTTTTTTTTTTAAATTTTAGGAGGACACTGATCAGTTTAATATTCAACAATCTTTAAAAATGTGCATCTAATCAAATATGTTCTATATTGTATTGTTCTGTTTCAAATATGTACCAAAATGTTCTGTTTTCTTAGAAAACCGGTTCACTTATAGTTAACTTTTTCTTATATGACTTAGTTGTGGAATAAATGCAATTTTAAAACCTCAAATAGAAAGGGATTATTGAGATATATTGTTTGAGAAACACACCTATTTGGCCAGTAAATTAGAAACCTTTGCTCAGTATTTTATTGGACTATTTGATTAGTATTTTGTTTTGCATACCTTTCTGCTCGAAAGCATCTAATAGAAAATTTAACTGGTTTTTAATTTATTGGCCGGAGTGTTGGTTGGTTTCGTCAAAGCAATATGTTGTAGTTTAATGCGGAAAAAAATGAATTTCTATGAATAATTTTTGATGTAATGATTGGATCATCATGTGCTAGGTCTCAATCTAAATGGTTCTTGGGGGTGACCTCAAATAAGTTATATAATTAACGCAAACAATATTTGACGTTATGAAAACAAACACAAAAACGTATTTTCTCAGAATAAAAATACATTGTTTTCGATGGATTTGGATTTCTTACCCTTAAATTATGTGTCGTAGCCACAATCTGGGAAATATGGTCCCAATAGTTTGGTCAGGCGAGCTATCTTAGTTTGGACCTCTTCATGTAAATTTCCTTTTTACGTCTTTCGCAATATCTCACGAATTTTTTAATTTAATCAAAAAAAAAAAATTGCACATAATTATAAAATTCGTTTACCCAAAGATAATTCCGTGCAAAATATATTTTTTTAATAATTATTGTTAGTTTATTATAAAAGAGTGGGAAACATTTTAAATTTTAAGATATACAAATTGTTTACATCATTTTGAGGAATGTAACATTATAAATTAAAACACAAAATTTGAACGAAATCAGTCGAATAGTTCCTGATAGATCAAATTTTAAGTCTAAAAATTCTTTGTTCGATGTAATTTCATGTAACAGAAAAATTATTTCAAGGTTATTAGATAATTGTTAAATGAATTATTAATATACAAAGTTTAAGTTGAATGTAAGGTGCTTTTGATAATTTATATATTTTTTGCAATTATATTATCTGTAATAATGTCAATCTCTCGAGGGCTTAATATTTTGTTAAGTTAAAAATATTAACAAAATTGATAAAATATTTCAATTTAATACAATTTGTTAAAAAGTAGTTAGTTGAGAAAGTGTTATTTGTTTTTTGTATCTCAACACAATAAGTATGTACCCCATATGTACAGTGCGCACAATAAAAAAACAGACCATCTTAATAGCATTTGATCTTCTCAGGTATTGTGATGAATTGCAATTTCAGTCACAGAAATGTATTTTCTCTTAGTAAACATACCTCATTTCGGCTGTTTCGTATTTTCTGATCCTTAAAATAGCCACAATTTCAAGAATATGATTCTAAAAGTTTCGTTGGTAAAACATCAGATTTTGATATAGATATAAGGCTACGTAAAAGTTGTAAAGTAACCCTTCTTCTATATTATCAGTATACGAGTATTCATATTTTTTAAACATTTTATTTCTAAAAAATTTATNAAAAAAAAAAAAAAAAAACGCTACAAAATCTCATTTTGTACAATTTAACATTAAAAAACCTCACGCTTAATTTATTCAAAAATTGATTTTAATTTTAGGTGAAATTAAAGTACGTACTTATGACTAAATCTGTTTTAACGTATTTTTTGGAGTAGCATGTCTTCTTTTGGATCTTGTGGCACTAAAATCCTACATTCAATCAATCTATCCTAAAACGCTACAAAATCTCATTTTGTTCAATTTAACATTAAAAAACCTCACGCTTAATTGATTCAAAATTTTATTTTATTTTTAGGTGAAATTAAAGTTCGTACTTATGACTTAATTTGTTTTAACGTATTTTTTGGAGTAGCATGTCTTCTTTTGAACCTTGTGGCACTAAAATCCTACATTCAATCAATCTATCCTAAAACGCTACAAAATCTCATTTTATTCAATTTAACATTAAAAAACCTCTCGCTTAATTGATTCAAAATTTGATTTTAATTTTAGGTGAAATTAAAGTACGTACTTATGACTTAATCTGTTTTAACGTATTTTTGGAGTAGCATGTCTTCTTTTGAACCTTGTGGCACTAAAATCCTACATTCAATCAATCTATCCTAAAACGCTACAAAATCTCATTTTGTACAATTTAACATTAAAAAACCTCACGCTTAATTGATTCAAAAATTGATTTTAATTTTAAGTGAAATTAAAGTACGTACTTATGACTTAATCTGTTTTAACGTATTTTTGGAGTAGCATGTCTTCTTTTGAACCTTGTGGCACTAAAATCCTACATTCAATCAATCTATCCTAAAACGCTACAAAATCTCATTTTGTTAAATTTAACGTTAAAAAACCTCACGCTTAACTGATTTTAATTTTAAGTGAAATTAAAGTACGTACTTATGACTTAATCTGTTTTAACGTATTTTTTGGAGTAGCATGTCTTCTTTTGAACCTTGTGGCACTAAAATCCTACATTCAATCAATTTATCCTAAAACGCTACAAAATCTCATTTTGTTAAATTTAACATTAAAAAACCTCACGCTTAACTGATTTTAATTTTAAGTGAAATTAAAGTACGTACTTATGACTTAATCTGTTTTAACGTATTTTTTGGAGTAGCATGTCTTCTTTTGAATTTTGTGGCACTAAATCTTACATTCAATCAATCTATTCTAGAAGGAAATTCTTAGATCATAGAAAATTAAAAATTGATGGACACGAAATACAGTGCACTTAACAAGACTATTATCATAACTTCTACTAAACTACTCGGTTATCTCCTAACATATATATTTTTATTTTCAGTAGTATTCAATAATAGTTCCGTTTTTTTATTTTAATTTCTGTTACTTTGTGTTACTTCTGTTACTTTGTTTTTTTATTTTAATTTCTGTAACCACGATTCACAGAAATATTGTTTTTTATTATTCTATTTGTCGCGCTGTGATTTTTTTATAATAATGTTCTTAATTTTGTATTTATTTTCTAGGTAGATTTGGAATATTATCCGAGTATGTACTCCATAAAAATGGAAGAGATTAATTCATGGGGTGTAAGTTTTTTTATTATTATTATATTTGATTACTGATATGAGTAGAATATATAAGTATAGGTAGAAAGTACAATTATAAAAATTTTGCTTTATTTAACCGTTATGATCAACTGTTATTTACTGGATAACGCTTATACGATATTTAAGCGATTTTATCAGTTTGGTATTTGATTCTTTAAACCAACTTAGATGATCAACATGCTTAGACAACTTAATAAATTAAACTTTATTATACGAAAATTTGCTGCAATAGTTGAACGCGTAGTGGAAATGCTAAGCACGAATAATGAAAAACTCATCTTTGAACTTGCAAAGAACTTTTATTTAGCAAGAAAATAATATAACTAGACTTAAACATCACATAACCTTTAAAAAGAAAACATAATTCACGAGAGTATTCTACTCTCCGCAACATGAAACAGCTGTAGTCGCTGCATACATTCATGAATCGCTCATGGGCTACAATAGTGGCACAACTCAAAAACGGGATTTTTGAACGAAGAACAGGTGTAAATCAGAAAATACACATTCTTTCAGCAACAATACCTGCACAACTCATAATTCAACTTGAAGGTAATCTTTGTTTAAGTAAACGAAAGCATTTCCCTTAGCAATGAAAACTTTAAACAAACTAATCTCAAAACTTGATTTTTTGAGTTGTGCCGCTATTGAAGCCCATTAGCGATATATAAATCTAATTTGGATCCGTCTTATATATACAAGCATATATTAAATGTCCAATCAAAAACACTTGCATACTGAGGTGAAACAAAACGTAATAATACACTTACAATTTTTATGTAAATTTATCTTTAATGTTCGAAAAGAAACTTGTGGTAAGTTTCTAGAGAAATAAAAAGCTCAGAAAAGCAAGAAAAAATACCTTTTTTTAAAGAACACAAAAGCTTAAATTTCGCCTTCTGAATCAATTTAATCTTTTTCTTCCAGTGACTTTTTGAACTTGGGATTTTTGACGCACCGTTTTTACTTGAACTTTTTTCCTGAAATTCGTAGTCTGGTAAAACCTATATCTCCTATAAACTTTAAGCACTCCCATAATACCAAAAAAAATCCAACATACCCTGAAAATGTACTCCCAAAACTGCAGGCTCCAAAAATAAACCTTGGTTTTGATATCATTCGAAAACAAAACGAAACAACTCTCCTGATGGTAGGATATTAATTGCGAATTCCCGCAATCAGCATCATCACTGCACCATATATTTTGGATTGGCAAATGGGAATCCATTTCTATTACTTATCAGTTCGGTAAAGAATTCGTTAATATGTATGCCCATGAGTAGTTTTGCTATTGCAAGAGAAATGGAAAATGACCTAAGAACCTACCAAAAAGACGAAAATATTTTCTTTTTTTTTCACGGAAAATGTCCTAAAAACCAAGGTAAACAAAGTGACAGCACCCGAAACAAAACAACACCCGAAGTATAGTAGTAATAGTTCAAAAATTTGTCGAAAGATTGCTCTGTGTAAGGAAGAAAGTCCTAAGTGCAAACAGCCCTCGGTGATAAGTAGAGCCCGGAAGTTCAGGCAAAATGCCAATAATGCCCTTTTCTGCCTTTTTTAAACGTTTTCTTCTGAAAATGCCTTTTTCTTTCCTTTTGTTCATAAATGCCTATTTCTGTCTAATTTAAAATTTTTCTGCAAAGCTTTTTGTGCTTTTGACCGAGCATAAACGCAAAATGAAGAAATTTTGAAGTACAGAAATGGTTGACTGTCATCCGACGTATTGTAATGCATTTATAGAGATTAGGACTTTATTCCTTTTGTCTTATTAATATTTTCTCTCCGTCTCTTCGTGGCGTCACCTTCGTCGTGGCGTCACCTTCGCCCGATGCGCTTTGCAAGGAGAGAGAGAAAGGGAGTGAAAAGATTGGAGTTATTTTTACTTACAGTCAATAGAATTTATTCTTACTTACGGCCCATATAGCCTACACCATCGAATAACTCGTATGCTCTCTTATCTACAAAACGAATTCACCAAGCTGGTTGAGCACATTGTAGCAGGAGCACGAAAAAGTTTTCTAGTATACTAGTTATTTCTAAAATGCCTAAAGTAAAAGCCTGCACAAGCAAAAAACTGGACAGTTTTGTGAAAGAATTTGGGTCGGATGTGTTTTCTACTGATGGGAGCATTCTGTTTTGTAAGGCATGCGAGAAGTCAGTAAATTTTGAGAAGAAGTATTTTATATCTCAGCACTTGGAGACATCTAAGCATAAAACAGCAAAAGATAAAAAAGATGGGAAAACATCGACTCTGATTTCCACCTGTTTTCAATTATCTTCTCGCAAATCGGAATTTGCAATGGATTTATGCAGATCATTTGTAGATGCCNTACAGTAGAAATAACAGTATTAAGAAAGTATTTTAAAAACTAAATGAAATTAGGATGAATTTAAGTTGTTGTTGGCTACGAACCCTTTAGGAGTGAAATGCAGAAAGCCCCAAGTGCGAGATTCGAGTGTTTTTTCGTACCTCAGCGGACTGATCGTTAAGACACGGTTACCAGCAGATCACTAAAGTTAATCAGCACTAGCTGCGGTCAGTGTGCGGGTGGGTGAACACTTGGATTAGTCTGCATAGGGACCGAGAGTCTGCGGTATAGGTCCTCGTTGAACTGTTCTACTGTAAAGTGCTCGACTTCGCGTGCAGGTCATCGGAATACCGAAGCGGGTGTGCCATCCCCTCTGCAGAGGATCAAAATTGTGATGGCATGTCTTCGGATCATCCTCAGGTATGTTTCCCAGACCTTCGCCAATAGACCATTGTGCAGTTATAGTGCGACGTAAATGAATTACAACAACAACCAAGTGTTTTTCCTTTTTCGGCTCTCCTGAAATATTCTCTTTTTTGGACTTGGATCAATTTCTAGTTCTCGTTTACAGAGTGTAAAATTATTTTAATGTTCAAACACTATCAAGAACGACTAAAATTCGTTTATTTTTTAAAATCACATCGGTAGGATAAATATTAGCCCGAATTTTCCCAATTTCATAATGATTTACAAAAATAAATTCAAAACAAATTTTTTTTCTTTCTTGAAATCAGATTTTATTGCTTTAACGACGCTAAAATAAATTTGCCAAGTGGAAAAATTACTTTTCTGAGGAATAGCTTTAATTTAACATAAAAAAAAACTTAGTTGACTTTTGATCCCTGTGCTTTTCTTCTATAAACAGAAAAAATTTCAGTGTTTGAGGACTTGACAGTTTTAAGTTCTTTATTCAAATACTAACCCGTAAAGGAATAAAAGCTAGAGAAAAAGATTTAAAAAAAAATGAAAAATTAAGCTTAGTAAAAACTTTTTAAGTTGAATCAATGTCGACGCATCTCTACGTTGATTATAAATCGTCTTTAATACTAAAATATAACTCCTGATTGTGTTATCTGCTTAAATTGTTAAGCTTAATTAAAACAGAAAATATAGAGCAAATGATAAAATAAATTGTTCGCTTTTTATTTCTGCTCAACCTAAAGCTCAGTTTGTTTCATCTTTTTGTTGCCGAGAAAAGGAATTTCATGAATTTTATGATAATATACGCAATGGTTATGAAAAAAATTCGAATATACGTATTTTTTATTGTTTTATTTAATTTAGCTACAAATATATTTTTTATACTTGGTAATTCATCATGACATTATTATCTGTTTTCTTTTAGAATGGAACTATATCTTATCTGGATTATATTAATTTTCATCTGCCAGAAGATTATCCTGCAGATAACAATACATATTTGTACATGAAAATGCTGGATTACTTCGAATACAATCTTCCAGAAGTTATTTTAGGAGCCAATACTAAGTAAGTTCATATATAAATAGTTTATTGAATGTAAATGAGCAACATAAATAGGATTACCACTTATTAGGTACAATAAAAAATGAGTCAGAAATTATTTCATGCAATTTATTTAGTTTATTTTCTTACTAAAGTATTTTCTACAATCGTTTAAGCATCTGTCCCATTGTGACACTACTCGCATAGTGTCACAGTTACAATGCCAATGCTCGCAAAACACCATTGGACCAGTTGCGCACCTACACATCACCTGCTTGCATCGTCTGTTGATGTCTCCGCAGTAACAAATCAACAACAATTCAAAAGTAACAAACTTGAACCAATATCCTTTTTACTAAAATTACAATGCCAATGCTCGCAAAACACCATTGGACCAGTTCCGCCCCTACACATCATCTGTTTGCATCATGGGTTGATGTTTCCGCTGCAAAACAAATCAACAACAATTCAAAAGTAACAAATTTGAACCAATATCATTTTTACTAAAAATATCAGCTAATAAGTTGTGAGGTAATTCCACGGTAAAGGAACATTTAGAAATTATAATTTTACAAAGTTAATGAATGAAATTATATTTATGTATTGGCATTTGGTACTAAAATATTTCAGACATAGATCCATGTTTATGAAATAATTTTTGATGATCATTACTTTTATCAGTATTATAAAATTCGATCAATGAATTAAAAACCATCTATGCTCATTTTTCCAGGACAATAGCAAATTATATTAGCTTTTATATGGTCTCAACTTTTTCGAAGTTTGCTTCTGAAGATCTGCTTACTTTAAGAAATGAATTTCTTTCATCAATTGGAATTGAATTTAATATGTCTGATGAACAAGTGTGTATGACACATATTAAAAGCTTCATGCCAGATGCCGTTGGAAGAATGTATATTGACAACTATTTTCCTCGCCTGACGGAAATGCACGTAAGCCCATTGAATTTAATTATCAATTTTATCTCCTATCTTTTTCTTCAATCATTTTATATGAAGTGATCAAAACAGTTTTGTTTTCAGATTTCGCTTTTATTAACTTCTTTTTTCCTTTACGCATATTTTTCTAATTAGCTCTCCAATATCAAAACTCAAGACATACTAAAAAACATTATTTTTTTTTTATTTTATTATTTCTAATGCCAAAAGAAAATGACAAACTCTTACAAAAACAGTGAACAGAAAGGTGAACAACAAGTAAGAGAAAAAAGTCAATATCTCATTAACAGATGTCGGGCACTCCAGTCGCGCCTCCCCCCAGAGTCCTCACGCAGAGACGAGCATTTCAATAGATGGTTCCTGTCCATAAGTTCATTATTCGAGCATAACGGGCAATTTGGGTCAACGAGAATGCCGATGCGGCAGAGGTGGTTCGCCAGGCAATCATGGCCCACCGCAAATCTGAATTCTGCAACAGCTTTATTGCGGGGCTTATCGGCAATACCGTGTTCTAAGCTGTTCCTCCAACTTGTTGAAGAAATACGAGAAGTGAGCAATGTTTTCCAGTTTTGTCTCATAAAATGTTTGATATAGAGTTTTGCCGAGTGAAAGGATTTAAGAGTGCTTGGCTGATGAATTCTTTGAGTGCCTCTCTTAGCCAGCATATTGCCGTAGATAGCGCAATGTCCTGGGATCCATTGGAGTGTTATTTGTCGCCCTTCTATCCTCAAACTCTCCAGGAGAACCTTACTAAAAAACATAGAAATTGGAACATTTGTATTAAAGCATTTCTACTCAAAAACATAGAATATATAGATCACGACTATTTATTTAGCTTCTTAGAGATTTTGGAAAACTAAAATTTAAAATTATTTAATTGCAAATTTAAATTAAGAAGCTACATTCAACCTTATGTAGTATTTTAAACTTTTTATTAGAGTTACATGATGGGGGTTTTAGAATTTTGTTCTCTAGGATACCTAGACGCGTTGAACTCTAAGGAAATGAAATAGATGATTTTACAACAAATCTGCAGACAATCTCTCTAATTAATAAACACAGTAGCTTGTATCTCTACTAGTAATTCTGAATATAACGGGATACAGAAACTAATACTGCCATGCAGTACAAAAAACAGTATAAGTGCTTCTCGATTGGTTCCAAAAAAAAGTGGCTTAACAGCTATTTTCCTTCTATTGCTAATATTATGAACGCTAAAATAAAATTTCAAAAAACTAATAATATAAAATACATTCTTGATAAAAATATTTTTTTCAATATGTAGCTTACCATACAAAGATGCCAAATATATAAAAATATCATTTTGAATTTTTTTGTCGTTTTCGTTGATTTTTCAATTGCACGGCAGAATACTCCCTCTGTCCAATTTAATTGCTACGTTTGAATACTTTTTTTGGTTCTGAGGATTTTCTTTGAACGTTTATCAGGGTGCTAGGGTATCAATCAACATCATTTACCTAACAATTATTCCCTCCATTTCCCTTAAATCAGTACCAAATTAATTTAAAAAAATCCAGGACTTGAGCGTTCTTAAGCCACGCCTCTATTTGTAAAAGTTTCTCCACCAGTAATCCCATAAAACTATATTCTAGTTAATTAATCGTGAATTCAGTAGTATAAATTCACTGCTGTCGATCTACTAAACGGCTTCGAAAGTTATTTATTGACTCCACATACTTGAAATGTGGCAACTAATTTGGGATAAAATTTTCGACTAATTTGAGACGGAGAGAGTAATAAACTACAGTATTAAATTACAGAAATAAAACCTTTGATTGCCGTACTTGAAATATTAAACATTTCAGAAAAATTGAAATTCATTCACGATTTAAACTTATACATTACTGAACGACCCGGCACTTACCCGATGTTCTAATTTAAAAATTAAGAGACATCGATTAAGCAATGCTTTCCGCTGCATGTCAAACCATTTTCAGGCTATTTTCTTCATTTATCTGTTTCATTTGGTGGGACTCTGTAACGGAATATTATTGACTTTCTATCTTAAAAATATAGGATACTACCAAAACAATATAAACCAGACTTATAATAGTGTCTAAGTATTAAGTGAGGTTCAGCCTTTTCTGGCTCTTGCCTGTCCAAGCTTACTTGATTCTCTTTTTTTTAGCTCAAACTTGAACTGAGCGGCTATAATGCTTCCTTGAGTTCGCTATTTTGGAAAATTAAAATTTAGGTCTCCCAGTATCAGGTCTCTTAAATTGCGATGTATTCTTTTTCGTTCTTAGTGCTATTTTGGTGTTCGATATTTTAACTGCGATATTTTTCCTCATTCAATACATTATAACTCATTTGAAACTGGCGACCTTTTAAAAGGACGGTGCCTTATTTTAAAAAAGAAAAAAATGGTAACACAAGTGTTTTAATATCTAGATTTATTTCACAATCTTATAAAGTTCATCTAAGGAATAGATACATATTCTATAATTTAAAAAAATATATTTCTAAATTAATGTGGCTAATGGGCTGCAATAGTGGCACAACTAAAAAAACACGCGTTTTGGACTAAGAACAGGTGTAAATATGAAAATACACATTCTTTCAGCAGCAATACTAGCACAACTCATAATTCAACTTGAAGGTCATCTTTGTTTAAGCAAACTAAAGCATTTCTTATTCATTTTGCTTAGCAATGAAAACTTTAAACCCACTTATCTTAAAACTGGATTTTTTGAGTTGTACCGCTATTGCAGCCCATGAGCGATGTGATATAGTGACCCTTTTGAGTCGAGTGACTTACGCAGTATAACCAGTTCTGGCTCTTGTGCCAATAAACTACAAACAGCCCACCAACCAAGATTTATTTTGCAGAAACAAGATAGTTTTCTGTCTACTATAGTATAATAATAATCTAAATATTTTTAATAATAGCACAGTGCTTGTGTTAAAGCTATAGTGATAGGTGATAATACCATGAATATGTTTTGTCTAGTCCGTTAAAATTAAGTTAGTTTTATAGTGTTTCAAAATTGTTTTTAAGGTACAAAAAATGGTGGATATGATAAAGCTTGCTTACAGCTCAACCTTAGATCAGAATGTCTGGATGGACAAAAACACTCTTCTTTATGCTTTGGTCAAAGTAAGCGTTTTTGGTATTTTTTTTAAAGCAGAATAATATTTTAAAAATTTATAATTAAATTAAAATAAGATGTATGCTTGAATTTGACTTTTATTGATGAACGTATTGATAAAAAAAAGAAAGAAATAATGTTTATTATGCTTTTCTAATTTATTGTAGAGATGATAACTTGCGCCGCTTTGAGGTTTAAAAAATTCCAATGGTAGCCAAATTTATGTTTTAATATCTGATTGTTATTCAGATTTGAAGCTTTTTATTTATGGTTTGAAGTTATTTTGACTTAAGACATAACTAAAACTTGAACGGCTGAAGCTATTTCCTTTCCAGCCACACCAGCTCATCTTAATGCCATGGATTCTTGTTTTATTCATGTGAATGCTGATTTCCTTGTTAGCTACATTAATTCCTCGTATCTCTCCATTGTTCGTGGAAATGCTTTTTACCCTAATTTTCCCCAATACGAGAAGTGAGCAATGTTTTCCAGTTTTGTCTCATAAAATGTTTGATATAGAGTTTTGCCGNTAAACGTGTCTACTGTTATTTCCAATTTATTGTTTTTTTTTTTAAAGCGAATTAAGTTTTTAATCAAGTAATACTAATCTTAGTTAACGATAACTAAAGCATTTTTCTCAAAATAGGTTATTTTTTTCTTAGTTGGTGAAATATCTGTGTTCAATACAATAAAATCTGCAAGAAGCTATATTTGGCTAAAATTCAAACTTGATGCATAAGTAATAATTATTTTAAGAATGCTGCCTGTTACTTCTCATAAATTAAATTTTGATCTTTGCTTATTTAAAGAGGTAATCAAAGCTTATGTCCAATTATAAAAAGTGAAGCGACAATTAATAAGTTTGAGTTTCGTTTTTCTAAATAATTTTTAATCATTAAATAAATTAAACACTATTTATTCTATGTTATCACGATTTCATTTTAGGTAATAGAAATTAACTTCATTTTACCTACCTTTTCTTGCTTTATAATAGTTGTATTAGGCGATTTAACGATTTTGTACCTTCCTTGATGCATTAAATTTATTATTATATTTGGTAAAAGTATTTTGTAAATATGTAACTTAGCACCAAATGTGAGCACATAAAAATAATTTCAGTTATATTCTGATTCTCTTTGTATTTGTTCTTCCACCGTGGTACGCTTTTTATTTTGCAAAACAAGTTTACATTATAATCCTTTAATTTGACTTTTTAATTAAAATCTTACATTTTGTACTTCAAAAGCTGTAAGTACTTTTTTAATTTTTCATTGTCAATTATGGTGAATAAATTATAAAATATATTTAATAATAATAATAATTATATAATGTATGAATAAATTATATATCATCAAGCTGTGAGCTCTTATGCCCTTAAATAAATATGCTTTTTTCTAAGTATTATGTTGTTTTATTAACTTTCAGTTACAGAGTATTGAAATGGCAATTGGCTATAATTCTTGGATATCTGACGATGGATTATTAAATAAACACTATGAGAAGGTAAAAATTATAAGATACAATTTTGTTATTTTATCACTTTTGCAATATTACTAATATTCTTGTATTTGAGTTTCTTAATAGTGTCATTCCATTTTAGTTCATCCAGCCACCTCTGATTTTCATGATAATTTGTATACTCATAGAATTTCGGATACTGATTTCAAAAATATCAATAATATTGGAATTAGTAAAAGAGTTTAAAAGTTACAAGCATTTATTTTTTAGCCGAAATGGCACGTTTGCTGCCATTTTGATTCACACGTCAGAGGCCACTAATTAGTGTAACTCATCTTATATTTGTCCTAGAACAATATTTTTTTGATTTTGTTCAGAATAAAGTAATCTGTCATTTAAACACACTTTTTTACAAATAAACATTTTACTTGTTTAGCAAATAAGTCTACTTTGCAGTTTTTTTGATCAACGGAGTTGAGTAACTTCAGCAGCTGATTTCTGGCAACTCGACCTTTTTAATTTCAGAAATATTTTAACCAAAGATAGTTGAAAGTGCATCCTAACATCTAATAAAAAAAATTTGATGGGCGGGTCAGACATTTTTTTTAAATCGAAATATTTAGTAATAGCAGATTTCACTCGGAATAACAGCATAATGATTATAATTTTTCAAAATAAACATATATGGGCCGGGATTGCCTGGTTGGTAGGGCACTGAACTCATGTCCAAGAGTTTGTGGGTTTGATCCCCGCCGGCCAAAGACTGTAGACCCCGTGTTGTAAATAGTGACTGATGCACGTTAAATCTGTCGAGTCGCAAAGTCCTCCGTGTTCCCATAACAAATCAATACCTCTGAGAGTATTGATCCAGGAGCTCCCTTGTCTTCTGGATTGGTTCAAAATTACAAGGCTACGGAGTTGAACATTAGTAGTCGTAAACCCATAGAATTGGGTCGGTGTTCAACGACGGATATAAAAAAAAACAAGCATATATTTTAAATGAGCTAACTTTCATGAAATTCAAAATTTCTGTGGAAAAGTTTAAAATAACAATATCAACTCGAAAATTTTAAATAAAATCTGGCGCTTTCAGTTCTTTAAACCTATTTTCCTGTTGTAGAAGAATATTTTTTCCATTGTTTACTCTCTGAAGTGTTTGACTCATTGAGCTTGTATATTCTTCCTGTTGTGGTGTTAATATCAACTGTACAAAGAATATTTGTTAAAGGAACTATGCAGCTATCACTTTTTGGCCAATAATATGAAAGGGATGATCCATGTGTATGCATGAATTTAATTGTTGCGTCTCCTTCTTCTACACGAACTTTCAAACACATTCCAATATACCAGCTTGCATCCTAAACAAAGCCACATTTGTACGATGGTACATCAGTATTTTTCGTAGTACTGAAATCTTAAACAGGCAGTGATGGAAAATTCTGCATCAGTACTTGCCCTTTTCCCTTTGATTTGCATATTACCTTCTGGTTGATAAAAATGCATATTTCTTGTACCTGATACTGTTGTTATGTGCTGCAATCTCTTAAATAAGTCTTTTCGAAGTTCAAACATTTCAATGTTGCAAATGAAAAAAAAAGTGTATACCTTTGATATTACTCTTGCAATGGTCTTTTAACTTGCTTTTGATACAAGCCTTTTACTGTTCCATCTATTCTATCACAAGCAGACTTTCCATGACTGGTAGCAAAAAAAACTCAATTCAAAAACACAAATTCAAAAGAGTTTTGCAGTTTTTGTATTGACCAGCTTAGCCATCGGTAAAATATTCAACACTTGTCACATTACGAAAATTTTCATACAAGTATTGCATCATTGGCTTTTGTGTCCGGTATACTAGTGGCACGTCATGATCATATCACCTGAAGAAACAAAAGCTTTCACTAATTAAATTTTCCTTGTGCTTTACATATAATACATCTGTGTGTAAAATACAGCATCTGAATGTCCAGTGAGAGCCCTGTGCTTCATCTAGAACTAAAGAAAAATTTTCACTAAAATCCATGATAATAATTGCTTTATTGCTGTTGAGCTCTTTCCTCTTTTTTAGGCATATGCTTTGACATTTTGTTACCTAAATATGTGGAATCAATTTTTTCAATCTTGTTAACAAAAAGATCAATAAAATCATTTAGGTTAGAAGTATATGTTGCCAGATCTATTCTATAAGTTGAAACCCACTGTTTATTATCCGGGTCAAAATCTGGAAATTTTGACTGTAGATAATCTTAAGAACATCATTACCTGGGACATCTATGGCATAAGTGTAGCGTACATTTTCTGTTGTCTATACTATATACAAGTCTTGGTAGTCTTTTTCAGTTTCAGCAGCTGCAATAAGTAGTTGCACATTTTGATGTATTGTGCACACATACAGAACGAGTTCCTGAACCACCAGCGAAAGCTCAATGCTTTGGACGTAGTTTTGCAAACTTCGAAAATCCAATTTTTCCATTGTGAGTTTGATACCAATGTACATATAGATCACGTAGGTTACATAACATAAGCCTTTTTTGAACATGTATATTCCTTTTTATAGCTATTTTATCTTTCTGCCCTGACATAAGGCGAAAATGTTCAGCATCTTCATAGAAGTTTTGCACTGCCTGTATAGTCTCCCGCGGCAGCTTTTTTCTTGTTCTAATGATTGGAATAGATAGTATTCCTTTCTCTATTAAATGTTTTCTGGACGTTGAACCTGATACTCTGTGTTGTTAAAAAATTAAATCTATCAAATTCTGCAGGCTTCTTTTTAAATTCTATTTCATCTTTATCATCAAAGTTGCTACTTTCAAGGATTGTAGCTGCTTTTTTTCTCAGTGCAAGTTTAGCTTGATCCAATTTCTGCTTACCATATGAAACTTTCCGGTGAACAGAAACTGAGTGCAATTTCAATGGAGAAACTTCTACAGACGTTAAACTCTCATTTAAACTTTCACGTTGTTCTTTATCAACTAAAAATGACTGCTGAACAATCTGTATATTTTATCGAACAGCTAGGGTGGAGGTTTAATTCAGTTGTTTCTTTTTCAGTGTCTTCATCTTTTTCAGTCACTATTTTCGACTGGGAATTGCTGAAATTTGATCTACATTTATGACACGAAGGGAGACTTTCTTGGTCTTATTGGATTGAGAGTTAACTCACAACATTTTTATATATATATATTTCATGCTGATACAAGAGATACTTATGTACGAGGCATGTAGTTGAATTTTCATTAAATCTAATTTTCTTCTTAATGAAAAAAGTTCTATATTCTCAGAAGAAAGCTTTGAAATCTCCTGAGAGTTTAAACTGCACTTAAAATCTTTCAAAGTTAATTCAATACTACACAATACTTGGGTCTCTGTAATAAAACTCTTTAAAAACCAATTTGATAAATTTAAAATTTTAGAAAACTTATGCTTAAAAATACGTTCCAGCATACTGTTTGATAACTAATTATGACACTAAAAACATATTATTTTGAATGCACTTAATAAGTTTTGTAAGTCGATTGCATTTTTATTCACAATACTTCAAAAATCTAATATATTATGTAGCTTTTAAATAAGAAAATCTGCTTACCGATATGCATTTCGCGGCGCAGTGCACCGTTCAGTGGCCTCACTTAATCGAAGCGAACTGCCATAACGAAAGGGTTAATTACCGTTGTGATACTCTTTAGTTACTCATACTTTTTTAGTTGTCCTGAGTCTGTGAAGATGTGTAATGGAACACATAAATCTTTAATAATGATTACAAACGTATATTACATAGATATAGGTGTCATGTCATAATCGAGATCTGGGATGACTAAGTGCTTATCCTTTGCGTAGGTATGGAATTTATAATTAATTGAAAGAAAAACAATTAAGAATCAGATTCTTGCATTTTAATAACTAAAGTTATATAATTTTCAGGTTGAACGAGTGAAAGATAATGGTTATCTTAATGTTATTATTGCATTTTATGAAACATTGAGTGAAAATTCCTATGGAAGATGGAACCGAACTGTTAAAAAATATGAAGTGTAAGCTGGGTTTTTTTTTCATACAATAAGTGATTAATGCTATTTAATCATTTGTAAACAAAGACATTATTTCGCTTAATTTAGAAAAACTTCGAAGTATTTTATTTTCATATACTCATGATATGAAAATGAGTAGTCTTTAACTCGTTCACGCCGGGAAAAGTGAAAATACTGGTAGAAGAACTATTTCAATATTAAATAATATTCAGGAAGAGTTAATCAATTCTCAACAATAACAATTTGCTGTAAGGAAATTTATCACGGCGAAGAAGCAATTCAATATAAAAATTGCATCCGTTAAAAACAATTGGAAGTTATGGATTTTTATTATTCCCGGAAAAAAACTAAAAAATGAAATTTGTTACCAGTTTTTACTCCGGTGCTCTGCCACGATGAGAAAATCTAGTGTGACCCACCGGTGGGTCTTCCCGGCGTGAACGCGTTAATAAATAACTGAAAAATTTAAATTATGAAAGAATATTTGCTGAACAATTTGTTAGGAATCATGAATATAAGAGTAGAATAGAGATTTTTGTGAACAAATGTTGGCGTGTTATGGAGCAATAGGTCTTAAGTCTAAAATGGCTCTTGCGCGAATAATTAAAAACTAACCAACTGAAGACAAAAAAGGTAATGAGTTAAATAAAAGGGCAAAATGCAACCAACGTTTAAAGAACTATATGTTTGGATTGAAATGGGGAAATATGTTTTGATTAGAGATATGTTGAACGTAGTGATCGTCTGAGTTATAAAATAGCATGGAATATAAAGATTACCCACCATTAGTGTGTTCAAGCAGTTTTGATTTACTACATCTATAAATAACTTGCTAAGTATCCATTCTTCTTTCAGGATGATTTTAAGAAAATAACTAGTTTGATCAACAATACGAAACCATGTAAAGCGATACAATTATTACAGCTACACCAGTCCTTTTCTTTTATTAAATTTATTATTATTTGCCCTTGCTTGGCTTTACGTAATTAGATAAGGCAAAACACGTGTTAAGAAGGTCACCCAATCAAAATAAAGATAAACTGTATGCAGTAACATTTGGCATGATGCTGTTGCTCGAAGCCAATCCTAAAACTTACCATGAAAAAGTAATTTTCTTTTGGTATACTTATTCCTTTCGGGAACTTGAATTTTTTTTTACCACAGTGCCTATAATAGTTACCCTGATATCTATTAAAATAGCACCGTTAATCATAATACTAGAAGTACCAGTTACCAATATTATTTAAGCATCTTTGGCGTCAGTAGTAGAATGACGATTTTTTACGGTTTTCCTAAATGAATAAGTACATTGTTCTCAAGTAATTTTAATTTTTAGTTCATAACTTTTTTTTAATTTCAATTACCTTTGATTCAGCAATGAAGAACGTATCGTAAGCATAGATAAAAAAAACTGGTAGTTAAAAATAACTTTAGAAATATTAATTCGGAGAACGGGTACTATCTATATCGATCGTTGAACTTTCCTGACATAACGGAGAAAAAATTTAATGCTAAAGAACGTAGAAGTAAAAAAAAACTTTTTATGATTAAATAAAGCTGTAAGCTAGAAAATATCACTGATATCATCTTTTAAGCATTTGGAAAAGCAAAATCATCTGCAGCTTAACTTAACAAAGGATGAAACTAAACCGAAAAGAAAAACTCATTTTTTAAATGTACATCAAATAGACTAAGTAAAATTTACGAAATAAATATTTTCTTAATAAAATCCTAGCGTTTTAGCTTTACCAATTTTTTTAGTTTTCTTATGAAATAATATTGTGCTCCAAAATGAGCTAAAATTGTTTCAACGAAGTACGAGACATTTAAACAAATTTAAAAGAAAAAAGTGTCATTCATGAAAAAGGGCAATTGCATTTAAAAAATAGCGAGGCTTATTTGGAATTTAAAAAAAATTTAAATATAAGAAAAAGTGAAAAATTACCACCATATTTCGAAAGTACAAAAGAAACTTAGAGAGAATATATATAATATGTAGTTTTTTTTAACAAAAAAATTATTTGTATGATTTTATTTTCTTTAAGATTTAAAAAGCTTCGCATCAAGTATCAGGATCTGATTATAAATTTTTTTAAAAAAATTTCTGTTTTATAAATCTTAATAATAACGCATAAAAATAATGATTTTCTTTTTTTTTTCAGATATGATGAAGAACCTCTTTACGTTATAAATGCTTTTTACGGTCCTCAAGCAAATTTTATGTGTAAGTTAAAGATGATATTTTTTAAACTCATTTAATTATTTAGTTTCAATTATAAATATGCTGAAATGGATAATCTAATGAAAATTGAAGAGAAAAATATACTTAAAAAGAATGCTTTTTTTTCTTCGTTGTTGAAATTTTAAAAAGGTAGCTTGTCCATGCCCTCATCTACTTGACGTTGAATTCAAATTTAATATTGGAGTATTAAGTTATTTTTAAAAACTATTTAGGGGACAGGGTCTGATAAAGATAATTTTTATAAACCTGCCTAAAAAATTTTCTAATTATTAATTTGAAGATCCAGATTTTATTTTATTAAAAATTGAAATTTTGTCTTCATTTGGAATGATACATAATTCAAATACTTTTTTTGATTGTTTACATGCCAGGGTGGTCAAAACCATTATAAATAAAATTTATTAAATCAAACGATAATTAAAAAAAAATCACTTTAAAACGATATACATTGGTATTTATTTAGTTATTAAGCTTTAAAATTAATTAAAAAAAGTTTACCTTAGGATTATTTACAGATTATTATTTTAACGAAAATCAGTTCCATTTTGATTTTACATGATATTTCCTAAGGAAGAATGTGGTAAATAGGTATTTTTAAGGTCCGTTTTTTTAAAAAAGTCACTGTTTAATAGCATTTGTATTTTCTTCATCATCGAGGGCACGGTGCAATGTATCGATGCCACAGAAATGAGCTAGTTACTGAAGTAATTTATAAAACGCTTCCATGTTAACGGCACTAAATTTTAAGTTTAATTTGAAAAAGTTACAGGTTTAGATTTATTTATAGTTTCGTAACAAAAAATTTATACAAAAATAAACTGAAGAGTTATAAAGAAAATGAAAATATTTCCAATTAAAGTATATTTAATGTAAATAAAAAAAACAATTTAATAAAAAGATTATTAAGAAATTGAATGCTGTTCCTCCAAATCAGAAAAATACACTCTTTCTCCAAACTAGATAAAGATTCAAAGTCTGATAACACCTTCTCTTATAGTTGATAAATCCGGAAGAGACTTGGTAAAGCCGGAAAAAAATGTAAAACTCTCTGCTATAGTTGAGACGTTAAAATGCAGTATTCTTAACCCCTAACTATTTTGTGTTAGTAATAAACCCACATTATTATCATAGAAAGCTTAATCAGAGTGCATTCTTAGAAGGTGATAACGACCTCGAAACAAGCCTTGATAATTTAATTTATTTATGACCACTACTACATATTATTATCTTGTAAACTAATATATCTGCTTGAGAACTATATCCTTCGGAAACTTCTAAACGAAAGTAGTATCCTAAAATTAGGAAATGCTTGCTAATATTAACGTAAATTTATCCCAATTAAATTTTTTAAGACCCTTAAAGACCAATTAATGTTACCATGTCCACAGCCCCCTTGTTCGTTTAAGCTCTTTATTGGATAATGGAAACGGGCAAATTGAAGTGATTATTATAATATGTAACAGGCATATTCAATCAAAGCATAGAATCTCATATTAAAAAACGATGAATATTAAATCTAATAGTAGCAATTTAAAAGAGAAAATTAAGAATTTAAATTTTATTTTTAGCTTTTTTTTTACCTATTTTTTTTAATTTGCAACTTTACAATCAAGTGTGCTTTCATGCAACTACGTATACATGCTGTTGCAAAATGATTCAGTGGCGAATGGGTGCTAAAAGAAACCATAGTTAATAACGAACAAATTTAATAATAAAAGCAATAAATCAATATGATACGAAATGGGGCTCTCCAATGAGCCATCCAGTTCAATCATTTGCCTGCCACATAAGTGATTACAACGCCCTCTTTTGGTCAGGCAAAAATTCATAACATATGCCAAAATTTAAAGCGAAATTGAGTGGTAAATAACATCCCTATATAAATAAACTATGTATTACCACCCTCTGTGTATATATTATACTTGTATATACTACCTACCTATACTATCGTCGTGGTTTTGTTCTAAAGTATAATATGTAGTTTAACGCTCAGTCAACAAGAAAATAACATTCTTTTTAGTTATTATGTACGATTTATCTTACATGCAGCGGTGCCAGCTGGTATATTGTCGTATCCATTTTACAAATATGGTAGAAACGAGTAAGTAAATTTATCTAAAATTTTGCTTTATTTTTTTGTTATGTCTCCCATTCATTGAAAGAAAATCATTGCTAATTTTAACTTTTCACAAGTTTTTTTAATCAATTCATTGCTTGTCTAAAGAGTAAGTAATATCGGAAAACTACGAGTAGAAAGTTTATTTGCTTACTGTTATTTGTTCAGTGCATTGGTCTGATTTAATGTTTCTATACAGCATTACATTATATTACACTAATTATAGAACTTGTATTTTCTCTAAGTTTTATACATTCATCGTAAAAATTAAAAACTCTTTTTCATATCCAAATCATTGTGATAATATTCTAATTAATGTTTATAGTGCCATCAATTATGGAGCTATTGGAACTGTCATAGGACATGAAATGAGCCATGCGTTTGATGATACAGGTATATAAATTTTGAGATTAATAAATATTTTCACATCGCAGAGATACTCACGACTCTGTCTTGAATTCAGGTGGCTAGCATTTTCTGTAACAGATATTTTGTGTATTGTATTGAGTCGCAATTGTTCCGAAGACAGAATTTGTAGTCAGAAAAATCTGCTCGACCCTGATTTCGGTTGAACAAACAATAGTTTTCATTGTATAATATGAAGGTAAAAACGTTTTTGATTATACGAAAATTATTTAGACAGATATTAATAATTATGTGTGCAAAAATTACACTTGAATGAATATTATGACAATCTTTATGTAACTTATCACCAAATTCATTTATCACATGTAAGCATTTTGGAGTGCTAGGAAATTAAATTAAAACTTTAACGGACGTCTAAACTGATTGTGTAAATTTTTGCTTTTGAACTTTAAATGTACAACCAATAGTATTTTTTAATTGAAGTTAATTAAAGTTAGATTTACTTGAAAGAATATGATTTGAATTTAAAGGCGTAAAAGTTTGAAAAATAGCTGGGACCATCGAAGATAGTTTAGATATAGTTGGGAAAGAGTGAAATATCTGTCTTTTTATAGAAGGAGTATGTATATTGAACGAGTATTATATTTTGTCTTTATTATGGTTGTTACTTAAAAAATACTTTCGAGATGTAACTCCTTAATTTAATTATAAAGCTTCAGATGCAATTATAGTTTTTTCTCAAGAGCCGTGATATGGTGTTTCAAAATTTTGGTCATTTTAGCTTTTCTTTTTATATTTTGTATTCAAAATTTGTATTTAAATATTAAATTGTCCACTTGTTTGCCTTTATTGAGAAGGAAAATATAAATTTTAATATCATTTTATTAAGTGGTAGACCGAGAGCAAGTAAAAAATAATTATAAGCAATGAAAATTTTCATTTAAAGGTCTATCAGTGCTTTCTAAGCTAAGTGTTTTCATTTTCGCATTGAGCGTCGCTAAAAACGAATCATTTTCTTGCACTCACCTACACAAACTTAAATTGTATATTGTGCTGAATGTACATTCACCTTTTTTATTAATTGTTTTCTGCAGCATTAAAAAGTGTGACTTTAATTTTTTTAGGTAGCATTTTTGATCACAAGGGCAATCTTAGGAATTGGTGGACAAAGACAACAAAAGAAAAATTCCTGGAAAAAGCCGATTGTTTTTCAAAACAATACGAAGAAAGTGATTCTTGGCTGCCTTTTGCTGTAAGGCATTACTTGTAACATAGTATTATGCTATTGCACGAGCTGTTTAATATAATATATGATGCAAATGTGGCATTCTAGTAGTTGAGAGAGTTTTTGGTACCTTAACACACTACTTTGGCCCCGTGCTTAAGGTAAACTAATGCGTATTGGTCTGTATGCATCAAACGGCGAATGTGATCTATTGACTAGGGGTAAGACCTGGGTCACTTTCTGGGCACCTAGGTAAGGGTGATAGGTGGGCGTATATCAATTGGTCAACATCATTGCCCAAATAACTAGTACCAATTTATTACTTGCAATCCCTTTGGACTCTGTGTTGGGTGGTACAGCTGGTAGTTAAAGTGGTTAAATTTTTTATGATTAAAAATAGCTAGGTGTTCAGTCCCGCACACTGAATGTACGCTCTCGATATTTTACCTCTACGTTAACAAATCCCACAGTACCGAAAACTTTTCTCTTTCCTAAGAAACTTATTTTCATTTGCCGACACAAATCTTTCACACCATTGAATTGGCAATATGTTCTCTTTAACCTTTCATAAACTTTTAAGTGAGTGATGATTTTCATAACAGCTATCACTTTCCTCTCATAATGTTTTAATGCTCCTCATGTGTTAAAAACCATCTGTGTTTTTATATCGTCGTGCAACTGACCCTTATTCGCTTAACTTTTTAAATTATTGATGCTATTAGTACAAAAGAGAGTATTCCAAGAACTTCAGCTTCTTTTCCTCGGCATCATAAGCCTTGGTAGAGCTGATAGTAATCCACAAAGAACAAAAATTACTTAGGAACATCTTCCGTCGTTTCCCTTTCACATCGAATCTCTCATCATTTGAACGGGCCATANATCGTAGTTCTTCAGGCAAATGATGCCTAGAGGTCATTATTACGAATTGGCTATCTCAGATTTTCAATGTCGCAATCACAGTAAAATTTGTGTGCTTTCTCTCAAACTTGGACTTTTATGCTCCAGGCAGATGACGTAAGCCGAGTGCAGCGCCACTAATTTGCATATTGCAATTTTACTCAGCTACTCTTAGTGGACAACATATGCAAATTTTGCACGGTTTGGCTTACTTTTGAAAGAGTTATCGCTATTTTTGTGATTTTTCCTTAATTTATGATAACCAGTGTAAATTGTTTATTTTGCTGAATGTGCATTTATCTTTTTTTATTAATTGTTTTCTACAGCATTAAAAAGTGTGACTTTAATTTTTTTAGGTAGCATTTTTGATCACAAGGGCAATCTTAGGAATTGGTGGACAAAGACAACAAAAGAAAAATTCCTGGAAAAAGCCGATTGTTTTTCAAAACAGTACGGAGAAAGTGATTCTTGGCTGCCTTTTGCTGTAAGGCATTATTTTTTAACATTTGACTATGCTATTGCATGAGCTGTTTAATATAATATATGATTCAAATGTGGCATTCTAGTAGTTGAGGGGTTTTTCGGTACCTTAAAAAACTACTTTGGCCCCGTGCTTAAGGTAAACTAATGCTTATTGGCCTCAAACGGCTAGTCACGAATGTGATCTGTTGGCTAGGGGCAAGAACTGGGTCTCTTTCTGGGCACCTAGGTAAGGATGATACGCGGACGTATATCAATCGGTCAACACCGGTGTCCAAATAACAGATTGGTGGCAGTACCAATTGATTACTTGCAACCTCTTTGGACTCTGTGTTGGGTGGTAGTTGAAGTGGTTAAATTCTCTATGCTTGAAAATGGCAAAGTGTTCAGTCCCGCACACTTAATGTACACGCTCGATATTTCACCACTACAGAAACAAATTCCACTGTACCGAACACTTCATTTATCGAAGTGTCTCCATTTCTGATCCACGAGGCTTTTCTCTGTGTACTGGGAGAGGCATTTTAAGGAAAACGTTACGTTCTGTTGATCTCTTAGTTATTGTTTCCGAGAAACAAGCCATTATTTTATCTATTAGCATCAACATCTACTCCTTTACTGCAACGCCAGATAAGACTCTCAACTCTTCTCGAGTTGTCATATTAGAACCTAATTTCCTCGATGATTAAAAGGAAACAATCGCAAAAGAAATAAAAAAAAACAGCGCATTACTGCTGTCTGTAGGATTAAGATTGACTCATCTTGTGTGAAACATCTGATTCTGATTTTTGACACACTAAAATTATATTCTGTAAAACTTGCTTGGCATAACTACCCTGTTCGAGCGTACGGGCCCATTGAGATATTCTCAACACCAAAGGTTTGGACATTCTAAAGCGTCTTGTCGAAGCAAGCTTATTTGTGCTTGAGGCTCTGATCCTGACCATGGTGACACTCTGTGTGCGTTGCTACCCTTTTGCATTAACTGCTTTGCTCTTTCTGCATACTTCGGGAGTTGTCCAAAATGATCCCAAGAAAAGGAAATACAAATTGTTTAAGTATTGCAAAACTTTACTTTTAATGAAGCCCGTTGAATAGTCACCGCCTGCACTTCCCGTCCTGGCGTGTTCTATTTCGCAGCTGCCAATAGTTTATTTTGCCCTGCAATACACGAACTGATCTTTTGATTTTGTCTTCTCTAGTCATCAGATTTAGACTACAGTTCAATAACCACATTTTAGCTTAAATGCGCTATCCACTGTGCTTTAGCTTAAATGCGCTATCCTTCTGTAACCAAAGCTTCAAAAATTGATAATTCTATATAAGCTCGGAAAAAGATGGATTTTGACGTAAAATTGTCTCTTCACCCTTCCGATGGTAAATACCTATTTGACAGACCTCGTATATTTGACGTTAAAATTCAATCATCTCCATTCACTTCGTAATATCTATTTATTTTAGCGCATAGAATTTCCGTGGTATACGAAATAAATTTAATGATATCAAAGATATTAAATATCAGTGTGCATGATTTTCTCTGTAAGAAACTCATTTAAAATTATCTGATATTCAATTACATAATTATTCTTGTTCCAGCTATAATTTCGATGATGGAAATCGACATCATAATGACATTGCAATTTTAACTTCAAATGCATTACCATCTATTTACCTTTCATTATCATCCTCATTACATTCATGGTTCAAATTCACATTAATGTTCACCTCAGAGTATGCTTTTTTATATATACCTCATGTTCCGTATCTCAAGCAGGTTTAAACTCATTGCCTTTTATATTGTTCGGAGATTTTAATGGCCACAGTGAATTGGGGAGTATTTCCGCTTTCGATAAACGGGGGAGTAAGTTTGAACAACTCATCCAAGACTATAATCTCTGTTTGCTTAACCAAGGCAAAGAAACTTATTTTCATTTGCCGTCACAAATCTTTCACACCATTGATTTGGCAATATGTTCACCAATTCTTTAACTTTTCATAAACTTTTCGATGAGTGATAATCTTCATAACAGCGATCACTTTCCTCTCATAATGTTTTAATGTTCCTCATGTGTTTAAAACCATCTGTGTTCTAATGTCATCATCGTACAACAGACCCTTATTCACTTAACTTCTCAAATTATTGATGCTATAATTACAAAAGAGAGTATTCCAAGAACTGAAGCTTCTTTTCCTCGGCATCATAAGCCTTGGTAGAACTCATAGTGATCCACAAAGAACAGAAACTACTTTGGAACATCTTCCGTCGTTCCACTTTCACATCGAATCTCTTAGCATGTGAACGGGCCATAACGTTTCCTCGCAAGGTCCGGTGTTTGTAACGGAGCGTTTCAGTTTTTACGGATGATTCAAAATCCTCAAAACATGTTGGGTGTGGAATTGTTATAGCTCAACGAACGTAGTACAATTATATCTCTGTTTTTATAGATGAAGCTATTTTCGTTGCTCTGTGGCTTATCTCATCACTAACCACGCGAAAGTATTACATCTTATCTGACAGCCTAAGTATTTTGCGTCAGCTCTGGATCATATTAATAACAAAGCCCATCCTATTTGGTATGTCATTAAGCATCTGTTAGCAGCCGTGTTGGTATTTCAGGTATCGACCTGGCTGATTCTGACCCATCTTCATTTGCTGGTCGGAGAACCTGCTTCCCCCAATGCATTAATTATAATGTTTTACTTTCAGTTCACCATATTTTAATTGTTTGCCCTCGTTTTAACCGTCATCGCCTTATCTTCTTTCGTTGCACCATTTTATGTATAAAAGACACGTGTGATGAAACCCATCATCCTTACATCTTGCATTTCTATGGAAATTTAAATTGTATGTATTTTACTAATTTACCTGCTTTTATATATGTGTTTTATATTGCGTTTTTAATCTGGTTTTAAAACCGTGTGTTTGGCACTGCATCTCCTTTTTTGGACCTTGTGCCATTAAACCTTTCAGTCAGTTCTAAAAATGTTCAAAAATTTGTAAGCGTTGAACGTTATTTTTTGCTGCCAAGTCTTCTAACAAGACGATTTTAAATGTGGGTGACATTTTATTTGTTATATTTTCTAAAGTATATTTTACCTTATTTTTTCTAGCTACTTATTTACCTTAAGCTAAACCAACTCTCTCTGAAACCTGCTTTAAGAATATTTTATTTATTATGTATTTTAAACATTCCCGTGGGAATGTATAGAATTCATTTAAAAATTTATAACCTTATGCTCTTTAACTAGGCTACAGCATAAATTTAATCGACATAATTTTTTTAAATAGTACCCTAATGGTAATGGTATATTATCTGTCATTTATCATAAAAGGTGTGTAGTATCAAATCATTTAAATGTATTCAAAACTAACTTTCCATTTTATTTAAGTTTTTCTAAACAATTTTATATCTGTTCTTCAAACTCTTTCGATAGTTCGTTCTCCCCAAAAAAAATCTCTTTGAAATTAAGAAATGTCCGGATCAAGAAATTGTCAAATGGAAAAACTAGTAAAATATAAAAAATGGTAGTTTAAAATATTTAAAAAGATTATTTTGTGTGTAGCATACTTTTAACAAATAATATTTTTGTTTAAATGCTTTTTAACGAGTTGAAAAATAGTTTTTTAAATTTTTTTTCTGGTGTGTTTTTGAATAACAAAACATCAAATAAGCCTTCAACTCTTCATCTGTTTTCTTTGAAAATTTTATAAGAAAATCTTGCAACACTTTTTAAGATATACATTATGTAGTATGAACTTAATATGTTGAAAATTAATTGAGACTATATCAACTTGATTCTTATATGTTACACCCAATATTTTATTTCGTACTTTATTTTTTTACGAGTCCAAAGAATGCGGCGTAACCTTTTAAATATAAAAAATTTAAATCACTAACACATTTCATTCTCACACAGCTGGACTTTTTACAGAGACACATCAAGTGTATAAATTACATTATTAAAAGTTTATACTATTAAATTTTTTTTTAATTATGATGACAGAGCATTCGATGAAAAGTTTTCGCTTACGTGAAAAATTCTATAACTAGTTGTAAACTTATCTACCTGCTTTTGCTTAGTAAGTTCTTGAAAATGGATATAGTTGATTTTGGAACTATACGCTGCTACCCTTTTTCTTCCTTTTTTTGTGTTTTAATGTAGTTAAATTGATCAAAAAATGTGCTTTTAGATTGATGGTAATGTAACTTTAGGAGAAAATATTGCTGATAATGGTGGACTTCGCAATGCTTTTAAGGTACGTTTTTTTCCAATTGATTTGCTTAAAATATACTGCTCAAAGAAAAAAAAATCCGACGAGGTAAATAAAATCTCCCAGTAATACACAATATTGAAAAAAAATAATGAGCGGAATGCTATAAACAAACATGAAGAAAAAAAATGAGCGAAATGCTATAAACAAACATGAAGAAAAAAATGAGCAAAATGCTATAAACAAAAAAATTAAGAAAAAATATAATGAGCAAAAATGATATAAATAAATTAACAGCATTGATCAACTAGTGGTGTTCGTTCATCGAATTCAATCACAGATAAAATTCAGAATGGGGAGTAATGTGTTGTAACTAAGACATGTTAACTTTATTCTATATTGAGGTACCTTTGGATAGATGAAGGTTGAAATAGTCGATAATTAATTTCCCACGCACTAAACAGCATATGTGGACTTTGAAATAGACTCCAAAATCGTACCGGCATGATTTAAGATCTCACAAGAGATGCAATTTAGGCAACTACGTCACTTTTTAAACAAAGCGTTATTCCTAGCCTCAAACAATTGTTCACTGCCGACGAAACAAGTAAAACATAACAGAATAAACTGTTTAACATTTATATGATACATTTAATAATTTGCGAACAACATTAGATCTATATCCTTACACGGGATGCTCAAGAATTACATTGAAAAAAATCGATAAATTAAAATAAATACTAAACGCTTGTACTCAGTGACTTGATTCTTCTGCATGGATCTTCACCTAAAAAAAGTTCCATAATTTATTCTAACGTCAGTACTTTCTTTAAGAATCAAAGGAGATACGATTTAGGCAACTTTCCACAAATCAATATTGTACCGAGCACAGGGGTTCGTTTCGATTAGAGATGAATAAAACAATCTAAGATTACTAAAATTTATTATCAGAAATTTTTAGAAAATACGCAATTTCCAGCACTCAATTCCAGCACAAATTTCAGTGCAGCTTCATAATCTCGGACGAGTCAATGAGCTCACCAGAGACTCGCAGATCAGAATAATAATGCAGACACAAATTAATACTTAACTGGCACTCTCTCTCTGTGAGGTCCAGTGTTGTTCATATAGGCTTGGAGACGAAACCCCGGAACTTTCGACTTGATTCTATACAATTGTCGTATGATTCCGTAAATATTAGATTGATCGCTTCGAAACAAGAATTTTCCAGAACTATCATTGTGTCGCAAAAATGGTCGCCAAATTTCGCCAGAATTATCGGCAAAAATGTCGCCATACCAAGTATTTCATAAGAAAAGCTTTAGGCGTTATTTTTTCTCTAAATTATGTTAGAATTACTCGATTTTTGAAAATTTTCTTATTAAACTGCCTAGTTAAGGGTTATCTTATATATTTAGCCTAATAACAAAAGAATATTTATAAAATTTATACACATATTTATAAATTTGTAACAATATTGTTTTTTTATTATCAAATATTAATGCAATTATTATAGATAAAAGAGCTTTTAGAAACATTTTTTTTAAAAAAATTAACATCATTTTCCTGACATATTTAGGCATTCAAACTTCACTTGGCACTTGCCGATGAACATTTAACCAACAGAAAAATATTATCTGGTTTATCTGCGAGTCCAGAGCAGTTGTTTTTCATTGGATATGCTTCGGTAAGTTGCGCTTTTTATTTTCTAATTAAAAGGGGTACACTAGAGTTAAAAAACAAAAAAGTTATTGAAATCATAATAAAATAACGTACTAAAATAAATAATTTTTGCCGAAAATTTTATTTCTAAGTTTTTATTTCTCTACAATTAATGAGTTTAATTTTTTAAAATGTTAGCAGGTAATATTACATTTATATTATTTAAATAGTAAAGGAAAAATTATTTTACATTGCATTTCAAATATGATTTTGTAATTATTAATATTGACAAAAAGAAATATTTTCTCTGAAATCACCCTTAGTTGAATTATTCTGTCATTTTTTTAGATTTGAGTTATTTGTTTTGGATATATTATCAGAAACTCAAATCTTATTTAAAATGCTGTATCATAAAGTCATTATTTTGATAAGTATTTCTTCCTATAATAAAATATAAGACCACAACTGAGTACCACAGTAAGCTGATTTACCTGACTAAAAATTTTAATTTGCTCTCGACTTTACTGTTGACAAAATTTTTATTTGGAAATCAAGTTCGTGTTTCGAACAAAATTGTCAAACTTGATTCTTGCTGAAAAAAAACAACAACTTCAAACTAATTGAAGAAAAATAATTTATCAAGAGATTTTTAACAATGAGCTTAGCATCTGATTGGTACAAAGGAAGAGTGATATTAGGCCTAGTGAGAGCGCTGTTTTAAATGTATTTTGTATCAGGTTTCCAGAAAAAAAGGGTTTTTTGTTTTTCGATTTGATTTTTTTTTGATTTTAAGAAGTATACGATCAGATCTTATAAATTCCCCGCTTGTAAAAATTTTCGTCGAAGTTGTCATGTCTGTAAAAGTTCATCATAAGTTGCTTACGCAAATGGTAACATAAGGTTTAGAACAATGGAAGGGTGAATACAATGCTGGAATTGGTCGAATTATAAATTATTCTACAAAAAGTTTTCAAACGTTGCAAATCTTAAAATGATTGATATTTATTTTAGTAAAAATGTTGTATTGATTTTTATGACTTAAAAAAATGTTGAAATAGTTTCTAAAATACAAAGTGTACGGGTTTTGGGGTGTTTTGTTTTTGTAATTGTGTTAGAGAGAAAGGTGTTTGCTGGAGATGTACGGGGTCTTAAAATTTTCCCTGTTCCGGGTACCCTACAATAATGTTTTTTTTTACAACCAAGCAGGTTCAGGTAACCGGTAAAATTTGAATTTATTACCCAACCGTATATTTTAACACTTACGCATAGCAATATAAAAATTGTATAATTGTCGTTTTCTGAAAATAAAATTAACATTTTCACAGCTATCTATTTGTATGTCGTTCAGAAAGATTTTACGTGATAGTATAGTAATACTTAAGATATTTAGAATTTTCTAAAAATTAAGCCACTTTGCCAACATCATAACTGCCTTGCTAATATATTCACATGTTTGAATGATTGATTTATCATGGTAGTTAAAACAAATTTAGATTCAACTATTAAAAATAAAGTTTATACGTCTAAGTATAAATAAGTAGTGAAGCATAAATGTTACTACTTCTAAGAGAAATTTTTCTCGGCGACTGTTTACATTTTCCTTACGTAAGGTATTGTTAAATTTTATGAACTATAAATTTGATTGAAATCGCCAATTCCATGTATGTATTCTTCTTCATTATTGTTTTTGTGGCATTTTCAATTTTACTTTGAGTTTCAACTTTTTTTTTTGAACAAATTTTAATTAAAGAAAGGTTTTTAAACAAAGTAACTTGACTCACTTAATTGTTCAACTTTAATTTGTTATACTTTTAAAAAGAATGTAGTTTTTGTTTTCTACTATTTAGATCTGGTGTGCCAATATGACAGAAGAATTTGAAAGCCGTTTTGGTACAAGCGATCCTCATAATCATCCAAAACTACGGTATAATTCTGAAAGATTTTCTCTACCTGACATTTTCGATGCATAATCTTGTTTTCTGTTATTATTGAATTTTAAATTATTTCATATAATACAGGGTTATTCATAATTCTCTCCGCCTGTAAACGCCATTTTTCTTTACTACAACTGGCTTCAGTGGTACATGTTACTGCCATCTACCGGCAACTGCTTAAATTAAAACTTGAATACTTTCGGAATAATTAACTTTTCGGAATAATTGAATACTTTTCGTTCTTTTGTTCATATGTTCTTTTTTGCCATATTCGTCTTCGTTTTTTTACTATAACGCTTCGAAACCCCGGAGGGAATTATGAATAACCCTGTATAGATGTAATAATATTCAAGACGTATTATAGTTTTAAACAGGTATTACACAGAGTTATACAAAAAGATAAGACCCAATTTAACTAATGCATATTTTACAAATTATAAATTGGATATAACAGTCTAATATCGTAAAAGCGAGGCTTTCAAACTATTGTTTAGAACCGCTGGGGCATGATTGTTGCGTTATAGACAAATAAAGTCGAGTTGAAACTCCTGTGTTTCATCTTTATTTGAATTCCCTAATTTTTTTTCTTCCATTTTTTAGAATTACCCATATTTTTTTTTTTTGTTCTTATGCTAGTATCCCGGTCGCTAATATGACATTAGATCCTATGAAACTGTACAGGGCCATTCTCAGTGAATGCGGTGAGGAACCTGATTGGGGAGTTTTTCGCGGATCCATCAATTCGATTCGCATGAGAAAAAAAATTGCAGCCAATGAGAGTGATGCTTTCCTTTTTGAACTGTTCATGTAAGAATGTGAACTGTCATTTCATATTCATATTGGTAACCACTTAAAGGTTTGCCGTGCTGTAAAAAAGAAGGGAGCACATTGAACATTTATAACCTGGGATGGAGAAGAAAAAAAATAGTAGCGTTACCTTTTCATTAGTATGTAGGTTGCTCGTATCCAATCTATACCTCATAAAATACAAATCAATTAAATTGGGTAGATCTCTCTTAAAAAAAACTGTGTTTTATGATGATCGTGATATAATTTAATAAGCGTAGTAGGACAACTTTAAATAGTATGAGGAAACAATGTATGAAAAATAAATGATATAAAATTGATAACTCGGTATTTTAAAAAAGTGACTACTATCATTTAAAACAAAATATTAAATATGAATTTGCCAATACTTAAGCAAATTACTTTGTACAAGTTAATTTAAAAATTGGCGTATTTTTTAAAGTTATTTCCTTATCCAATTATGTAAGTAGGCAAATAGCATATTATTAAATTAATTGATAACAAAAGTTGGAGTTTAGGAGCGTCTTAACGACATAAAAAAAAATCAAGCTAAGCTGTCTTTTTCTACAAGCCAGTTCTAGTTATAATCTAAGGGTATGTAATAAGAACTGATTCTTACACAAATGGCTTTTAGACAAACTATTATATTGATTAACCATATTTTTAAAATATATTATATTATATTATACTATTATTATATTATATTATTATTATATTATATAATTATTATTATGTTATATTATTATTACTTGCATACTTACTGCCTTTATCAAAATCAAGTTAGTGTTAATTATTGTGCAATCCGTCGAAATATTACAAACATTAAACACAAAATAGCCAAAATATGGCTTTTGAGGCAATAGTTTACAACACTTCCTGCCTTTATCGAAATCAACTGAATCTTAATTTATTTTTGTGCAATCCATCGAATGTTACGAACAAAGTATTACAAATTAGCAATCGAATTATAGTTTTTGCATAATTTATTTTAGGGTCAACGTTCCTCTTGCTAATTCTAAGGAGTTTGCCAGAGCATTTAAATGTAAATCTGGAACACCAATGAATCCAAGGCGTAAGTGTGTGCTATGGTGATAAACATTATATGTTTGGAACTAACGGTGCCAAGACAAAGAATGGATATTTTTTATAAACATACCAAGAACAAGACGGATCCATATTATGCTTAATTTAATTTCTTTCATGGTGATAAGAAGATTTGAACATTAAAATTGTATTGCTAACGGAATTATTTTTCTTGCATAATTTCCTCTTATTTTTTGTTGTTATAAATTGTAAATGTATAGTAACTGGAATAAATTTAATTTTTATATTTTGCTATATGTATTTTAAACTGTATAAATTAGACATTTTGAAGCGTATTCATAGTGACAGGCAGGCCAATTAATAAAATTTTAAAAACAAATTCATACATTTTTAATCGAAGTTTATTAATAGAGACAAACTTGATGCATCTTAAACGTATCTGCTTTCAATCAATTTATAACAACGTTCAAAACTTTAACATGTGTAAAGCGAAATAGTACATTAACTCTATAAATTTTTGTACCAAAAAACAAAACAATGATAAAAGTAACTTGTTGAATGTGTATATGTTTGATTGTGATAGATTAAAGTAATTAATTTAAAATTGACCAAGCTAATTATTTTAAAATAAATCGATAATTTTCTTTAAAAAAAATCAGAATTAAAATTCTCAATGTAAGTTTTAAAATGTATTAGTTAAGGCATATTTTTAGACCTATTACGCGAATTAGGCTTACATGTCGATGTAGGTCTAACTCTCGAACATTACTATTAAGCTCTTCTATTTGCTTTCAGATACTTATTAAGAATCACAGATGGCGACACTAGAGTAAATTTTCAAAAATAAAATGATGTTGACATTCTTTTCACTGTCTAGAAATAAAGATTATCCAATTAAAAATTACATGAAACGAAACATGCTTCAAAGGTTATATCAAATGGAGAAATTCACTGTGCATTTTTTTTTAAATTCACATTCTTTTAAAATATATTCTTAAAATTTTGCTGATGATAGTTCATACTATCTTAGTAACGATCTTTGATTTTCAAAGTGAATTATTGCATATTTTTTATAAATAAACACCTCGCTTTATTTTATTGGAAACAAATTTATACGTTATGTTCGAGTTAAGATTCGAAACAATGAACATATAGTTTTGAATTAGTAATGTTATAATACTGATATCATTTATCATGAAAATAGATGGCAGCACCATGACTTTACAAATACAAATTATTTGCAATGTATTTCTTATCATTTCGAATAAATACAAAATTGTAGTTAACCACGAAATTACGTTGAAAATTACATCATTAAAAAAATTTCTCTTTTTATAGAGTCTTGTTCGCGTGATTTCGCCTTCATTTTCTTAATAATCTTTTTTTTAGTAGTTACTGCAACAGATATCGCGATTTTGTTTTTATTTTTTTTTATTATTTTTTTTTAACGTGATAATGATTTATAAAATGCGAAAAAGAAAATAGTGTGTTTTTCCTCCAACAAAATGAAAGAATATCGATCATATTAGAATAAAAAAATATTTCAATTACATATTCAATTAGAAAAATGTAGATATTATTTTATTCGAATAGGGTTTTTTCGTTGTAAAAAGTATCTTACGAAAAGATATTAGTGCTAGATAAGTTTGTCGCAGAAAGCCCGAAAAAATACTGCCATAGGGCACACAACTTGATCTCTTTGAGGGGCAGGATTTTTTTTTAAATAAAATGCATTGTCAAAATTATTTTAGTTTGGCTCTATTAGAATAATTTATTTAAAAGAATTTTTACATCATTTTGTGTACATCGTTAGAAGCGACAACCCTTCAAAAAGTATATAACCTGCTCAGCAACTAATTTTGTTCATTCTAGTAAGGAAGTAAAAAAAAAACAGATCTGTTAAAATATGAGGACAATTTGAATAATATTTTATGGTCACTCAATTGCTGAGAGGATTTTAATCCCTGCTATAAATGCATGGAATAGTTGTATAAAAGATAGCACCACAATTTTAAGTGTATTTAAATTCATTGAATTTTACATTTGGAAAATAAACAGTGACATGAAATTAAAGCTATAAATAGCATGTATCAATTTTATATACTTCTCAATAAACGTTTAGTACGTCTCTTTTTTTTCAATAAAAGTTTATTATCATTAAAGTTCAGGAATGAAACAGTATTTGGGTTTAACTCTTACGATTTTGTCAAATTTGAATTCAACTAAGAAGGTTAAAAAATTTAGTTTGTCTTTAATCTAAATTTTAATTACTGGTTTAGTTTGATTTATTTTTCAGTTTGTTAAAAACAGGAAAAATTAATAAGAATGAGAAATCAGACAGTATAAAACTTGTAATGCTAGTTCATAAAATATTATCGTAGCAATTTGGTTATTTGTAATCTTATTAAAGTTTTAAAAAAATTGCCTAATAATTAATTCTATTCAGCATAATGAATAGTATAAAATAATTGAATTTTCAAAATACCCCATTAGACAGTACTGAAAATGTTAAGAATAATTGAATTTGTTAAAACAACTGCTATTGTAAAAACATTGCTTTGAAATTAATTTTAAAAAAATTTCTTCAGTTTATTTATACTACTGAATAAGCTCTAAATTATTATTTTCGATCCAAAGCTTTTAGGATGTGATGTTCCGTTATTTATTTTGCTCATGATAAACAAAGTGTTTCACGCTAATTTTCATGAATCATAGTCTCAAATACACACACGTTTAAGACAACAACGATTGTACTTTCTCTGCGTTGCTCAGACGGTGTATGACTATTTTTAAACTTTCTCTGATCAATTCACATGCACCTTCAGTACTGATATTCATTTTTAGTAGTTCCGATCTCTTATCTCTTTATTTTATACAAAAAAATATACAGAACCGAGTAAAAAGAAACTTGTAATTTTTTTAACATTCAGAAAACTTATTTAAATTTCAAATTATGCCTGGATTTTCTGTACCACTTCAGACCGAACCCATAAAATATTTTTTTTCCATTGCCACTGTCAAAAAAAACCCCCAATAAATTCAGCACTTTTTCCAATGTTACATTAGAGATAAAGATGTAAAATATTGAAACATGATTTTTCAGTAAGAAAGTGAAGGTTTATTAAATGCTAATAAGTTGTTTTAACTTTTTTTCCGTCAGAGGGTCAGTTAAAGTTGCGTACCTAATCAGAATCCCAAATATTTCATTCCGATAGGTAGAAATCAATTTACTGACTAATTATTTTACTTTCAAAGTACAGTATTTGCATGCAATTTAGTAAAGTTAAACAGTATATTAGCTTAGACCAGGAAACTTATTTTTTATTTATTCGTTTTTTGGACGTTTTAGGAAAGTTGCTTAAATTGTATCACTTTTCCCATTTAAATTTTTATCAGCCACAAATCACCACATTTGAAATATTTAACAACATAATAAGGTTATTCAGATACTTATATTATTTTACGGTATTAATATATGCGCATTAAATACTGGAAATTAATAATTTTCGTAATATCTGCAAGTGGTACGATTTAGGAAATCGATTTTCTAATTCGTACCACATGCTCCTTAGATCATGCCAACATCAAAAATATTAAGTATGTATTTTAAAATGAATAAGTAGACCACGTGTAACCTGTAATCCTAAACAATTACTTATTAATTAGCATAATAAGAAATACTGGAAATTAATAATTTTCGGTATTAATATTTGCGCATTAAATACTGGAAATTAATAATTTTCGCAATATCTGCAAGTGGTACGATTTAGGAAATCGGTTTTCTAATTCGTACCACATGCTCCTTAGATCATACCAACATCAAAAATATTAAGTATGTATTTTAAAATGAATAAGTAGACCACGTGTAACCTGTAATCCTAAACAATTACTTATTAATTAGCATAATAAGAAATGTGTTATTTAACGGTTACAAGCATAGTAACAGTTTTATAAGCCTCTAAAATATCTCTGAAGCATAATGATTTATACTCCAAAACTCAAAAGTGATTTTTATAAGTCCTGCTTGTGAAGACTACTTCTTTTTGGGATCTGTAATCTACTGCCATCTTAAGTTTTAGAAATGGAAAAATTTGTTCGATTCAAGCGTTCAACATAGAACAGTTCGGTCTGTCAAATCACATTGCTAACCATTAATAACTAGATCATTGCTTCACTAAACAGAAGGCTCATTACTCATATGTTTTTCTTAACTTTTTCTTCCTTGGAATAAAGAACATAGATCTCATCATAAGGATATTAAATCCCATTGAATTTACTTAGTTTCTTTACGATTGATTTACGTTTAGATCGGGGCTTTCTGTTCGTTGAAAATCAGTTTAATTGAAGATTGGCCTATTGATAAGTTAAATCCTTTTAAACAGAGTTCTTAATTGCTGCAATCTCATTACCAGCCACACTCTGGAGATGCAGGGGTACCAACTATCTACGCTTTTGGAGAAAATTTTCTCTAGTGGCAGCTAAGTTTATGTTTCAATGCATTATTCTTTGTTTCGAATTAATTAATTATAATTTGATTTTAAGTTATTTTCCACACCATTACATCAAAAATTTACATGCCTCTTTCTTACAGTTATCTCGTTGGTAAAGCATTTTTTATGATATATTTTGTTTTGGGTGAAAATTTGTCCAGAAATAGTTCTCAATAAGCCGCTTATTGACAGTTTTGGTGTGCTTGAAAACATGTTCAGTAATTGAAATTAATACGTTGTTCATAAATCGTGCCACTACGATTCAGGTCTTGCATGCGCGATACCATATAGGCAACTACGTAACGTTTTAAAAAAGTGTTATTCTAAGCCTCAAACAGTAACTAAATAGTTAATTAACAAGTAAACATGACAGAATAAGTTATTTAACAATCATATGTGTTTAATAAACTGTACATTAGTTTTCTGTTATATCCTTTCACAGAATGTTCGAATATTACTCTGAATCTTGTAAAATAAACTTAAATAAAGACTAAAGGTAAGTACACTGTAACGTAACACTTCTGCATGAATTTCAGTGCTGAAAATGCCTCTTAATTTAACTGCTAGAGCGTTTTTTATGTAATAAATCTTTTAAAATTGGAGGTGGTAATATTGGGGAGCAGTTCGATGCATGCAATTTTCATGTATAGCTTATGACTTCAAAGAAAACTTTGCTTAATTCAGCACTTTATTTAAGTCGTAGC